AAGCTAGAAAAACTTTCCGGTAGATTTTCAGAATGCTTAAACAATTATCTAACTTCAATATGTCCTCAAATTTTGAATCAAATTACTCCCTAATGGCGTAAAATCGATTTGAAAAATGATTACTTTGTGAAAAATTAAGTTTTAAAAATGGTTAACTTGATGACGTCATCAAGTGGTGATGATGACGTTGAATTACTTTTAAACATAATGTAAACTAAAGTCTAAACAATTATCTTCAAGACCTGTGGTCCGAAATGGCTGTATCTTTAAAGCTTCTGAATCTACGGACACCTAAATATAGCCTATAATTGACTGGCAAAGCGTCTATCCCTGAATCACAGTGCTGGCAAGCACGAGCGGTGTCTTTATTGGGGGTATACTATGTACCCCCTTTACTAGTGTACCCCCTTTACAATTATACCCCCTTTACTATTATAACCCCTTTGGTACTCGTCGGAAGCCTCTTTCGTGCACGCGAAGCGTGCACTCCGGCCGGAGGCGGGCGGCCGAAGGCCGCCGCCTCCGGCAGGAGTTTTTCAGGCATTAAAGACTCATCGGAAGTCGTTCAGCAGATTTACTTTTAGTTCAAAACATTCTAATTTGATGTCAAAGATGACAGGAATGAAAAATATTTATGTTGAGATTTTTAAGAAATTTGCTTAAAATACTCGCCAGCACTGTTATACGAAATTCGGTAAAAAACTCAAAATCGCCATATTCAGGTGCCTTAAAAACCATGTTAAAATTGAGTTAAAGATCTGAAATTTTTCAGGGCGTCTAGACGTTGACCAAAATCAACTGCAAAAAAAGTTTCAGGTTTCAGGAGCATCGGGAAATGGGTTTTCTAGAACCCCTGTTTTACGATAGATTGTCGTGATACATATATACATATATTCAGGGATAGACGCTTTGCCAGTCAATTGTAGCCTGTATTTAGGTGTCCATAGATTCAAAAGTATAAAAGATACATCCATTTCCGACCCACAGGTCTTGCAAATAATTGTTTATACTTTAGTTTACATTGTATAAAAAATTATTTGACGTCATAAACACCCTTTGATGACGTCATCAAGTTAACCGTTTTTAAAACTTGATTTTTGACAAAGTAATAACTTTTAAAATTAATTTTAAACCATTAAGAAATAATTTAATTCAAAATATGAGGAAATTTTTACCTTAGATAATTGTTCAAGCATTCTGAAAATCTACCGGAAAGTTTTTCTAGCTTGCTCCTTCATAAAGATATTCGTCATTGAAGTTTGTGCTTTTTAATTGAAGAATTATTTTATAAAAACGTCAATTTTGCGATTTAGTATTCTCTGGTGTTGGGCCATGCCTTGGGTTGTGGAGCTCAGTTCTGCTTCCTATAGGTATAAATTGTGTATTAGGCTAGTTTTAAAGTTGAAAATCGAAAAGTTGCACACGTGGGGACACGCCCAAATTGATAGAAAATCGCTAAAATCACTGAAACTTGCTGTTTTCGTCATTTTCTGTCAACTTTAGAGTGCCGTTGTGATTAAAGTTCTTCTTGAAATACTTTGAAACTTTGCATGCTTATCAATCTATATATAAAACAATTACATGCAAAAATTTACGGCGATTCAATATTGGATGCGCACGCAACGTCCGCTCAAAGTTTGCACGTGCGAAAGGTGAGAATTTTGCTCATTCGTGATTTCCAACAAATTTTGCTTTGCCACGACAGTTTAATGTCATTATATATGAATTTAATGCCTACTTGAATGAGTATTAAGTGGCATATTCAGTCAGTGATCGACGGATATGCTTCCCTAAACACAAGGAAATGTTTTTAAAGGAAAAATTTCGAAATCGTTGAAACTTCCTACTTATTAATGAAGATATCAGTTTATATTTCGACTTTATAAAGTACCCTGACATTATACTCAAAAAGAGATGATATTTTACCAAAACCCATAATCATGGGTAGAGTGGACCGCTGCCAGTGTCTCTCTTTCCCAAACAAAAGGAAATGATATTAATTTGATTGACCGTTCTCAAATGCAAAATGATACCGAGAATGAAATCGGTCGCTCGCTTTTCCCATTCATTTACAATTGTAATAGATTAAGAAGAACTACCCAAAGGCAGCTGTACTCGGCAATGAAGATTCAATAAACTTCAGCTTGTTCAATAAGTAATAACTACCACCCTTGTCCCTCACCCCGAAATACTAGGTATCGACCCGAACGCAACCCAAAGAGATTTTTACAGCATCTGATTGATGTAATCAATCGAAACTTAATTATACAATTCGTAAGCCGTGAATGAATGGGAAAAGCGAGCGACCGATTTCATTCTCGGTATCATTTTGCATTTGAGAACGGTCAATCAAATTAATATCATTTCCTTTTGTTTGGGAAAGAGAGACACTGACAGCGGTCCACTCTACCCATGATTTTGGGTTTTGGTAAAATATATGTATATTGATAGATAGATGTCCCGACAATCTGTCGTAAAACAGGGGTTCTAGAAAACCCATTTCCCGATGCTCCTGAAACTTGAAACTTTTTTTACAGTCGATTAGGTCAACGTCTAGACGCCCCGCAAAGTTTCAGATCTCTAACTCAATTTTAACATGGTTTTTAAGGCACCTGAATATGGCGATTTCGGGTTTTTTACCGAATTTCGTATAACAGTGCTGGCGCGTATTTTATGCAAATTTCTTAAAAATCTCAACATAACTATTTTTTATTTCTGTCATCGTTGACATCAAATTAGAATGTTTTTAACTAAAAATAAATCTGCTGAACGACTTCCGATGAGTCTTAATGCCTGAAAAACTCCTGCCGGAGGCGGCGGCCTTCGGCCGGAGTGCACGCTTTGCGTGCACGAAAGAGGCTTCCAACGTGTACCAAAGGGGGTGTAATAGTAAAGGGGTGTAATAGTAAAGGGGGTACATAGTATTCCCCCAATAAAGACACCGCTCGTGCTTGCCAGCACTGTGATTATATTTAGAGGCTGGAACAAATTTGTAATGTTGGCGGGGACTAGCTCATGAACTATGTTGTTAAATGCCATAATTTCGTTGACTTTTTCCGCAAAGTGTCCCTTGAAAACATCATATACTAAATACAGTAAAGTTTTCTGTGTCTCCAGCAGACCAAGGAGAACCTTTCCGTCGTAATTAACTTACGGCACAATCAACAATAAAGTTTTCATAGTTGTCATATTCTTGACAAAAAGTTCGAATTTTTGAAAAAAATTCAACGGACTTTAACTTGGACGGACCTTACTGGGCCGCGCTCAGCCTGTCATTCCGCCTAATCTTTATGTTTATGAACATGATAGCCTGAGGTCCCCAGGTAAGGACGGACCTTAAATGAACGAACTTTATTTGAACGGACATTAAGATGAACGTTTATATAATAAGGCCTCCAGCGTTCAATTAATGTCCGTCCAAATAAGGTCCGATAAGGTAATTAGCGCAGACTTGGCGACCTTGTCAATATTATTCGCGTGGAATGTGGATCATTCATCATGTGTGTTATAATTGTATCACGTTGCAACCCCCACGGTCGTTTCACTGACGATACAGGGGGAGCCGCGCACTCGTGCGCGGCGGGTCATTGACGGATGTTACTCGTCTAAGTTTCTTCGAAGTAGCGCGCGCCGCTTTCTTCTCTTGCCCGATGGCAAGAGCTACGAAGTAGCGCGCGCCGGGCCATATCATTAACAATGGTCAAGGCGGGTCATACAACGTATGACAATGCTATAATACAGCAATATCGAATACAAAACTGTTAAAGACGGAATTATACCTTATTTGTATTAAATTAAGATTTCGTTGTTAAGAACAAATAAAGACATGGCTTATAAATAAAGGGTATTATTTTTAAATTTTAGTAGGTAACAAACAAATGAAGATGATACATTACAATGTTTAATTAAAAGTCTAGAAAACTTCAAACTACATACATATAAAAATTAAACTACAAATAGTCTAAATAAATAAATCCAGCCGTATATCAGTATATACTATATTATTAAGAAACTGTTTTGAACCATTAAAATATTCAAAACCCCTAAAAGAAATCAAGACATCCTAAAATGGTGATCAGTACAGATCAAGACAGCTAGAGTTAACATTTGTTTCTCCAAGCAACTCTATCATCGGCTAATATCTTAAGCTTATTAAGATCATTCAAAGAGTTAAATTTTAAACCTCTACGGGTCAAATCATTCACATTATTATGAACAGGTTAAACTCCTTGAAGACTGCCTTAGCTATTGGTAGGATAGCTTCTAAGGATTCTTTTTCATGAAGTTACAATCGTCTGAATACGCTGACTCAAGTGCAGCATACCTTCTTTGGAAATAGGGGGATTGGGTATTTGTGGGGGAGACTCTGCTAGTCGATGGCGTTCAATAAGAGCTCCTGCTAGGACTATATGCCTATGGTATAATACAATAATTATTTTGACTTTGGATCATTATTATTTTATAACCCATCGATTCGTTCTTTGAAAAGAGTTTAAAATCGAATTTCAAAGTTCTCTTAGAAAGTTCAAGTTGAGACTTTAATATATATGATAACACTTTCAATCTTCAAATAACGGAGTAGTTCGCTGTTTATTAGTCTCATGATTGAAATACTGATATCTGGATATTATCCGGTTGGAAGAGACAAGGACAAGTGAAACAAGGAAGTTAGGAGTAAGGGCAAATTTTCGGCGTCAACGCCATCTTCAGGCTCAAATTATTTGTTATAAAGTAATGTTGAAAGTATAAAAAGTTGTAATACTTTCAACACTACTTTATAACAAATAATTCGAGCCTGAAGATGGCGTTGACGCCGAAAATTTGCCCTTACTCCTAACTTCCTTGTTTCACTTGTCCTTGTCTCTTCCAACCGGATAATATCCAGATATCAGTACTTTCAATCTTTATAAATCTTTACTTTTATAGTATGTGACGAACAAATGTAAATAAAACAATACAACGTGAAAAATTAATAAATCTAAAAACATCAAACTGCATACAAAATTAAAAATAGAAACGATATAAACTATAAACGGTATAAATGAAAATCGAATGAAAATCTAGCATGACGAAACCATATTTATTGTGATTCTGAAGCTTAAATCTCGTGAACAAAGCTCTACAACTCGTCCTTCGAAAAGGGTTTAAAATCTACAGCTTCCGGGATCTCAGAGAGTTTCCCTTTACAGTCCCCTTTCATACAGAGCTCTGTGAACAGATTCCCAGAACGGTAGTGGTTGTAGACCTGAGATGATATAACGTCAGATTTCCATCATTTAAAGTATATTATTTGGAATGAATCGTGTTTAAAGGGTACAGCTAACATTTATAACCCTGAAACCGAAACTAAAAAATCAGATGTTCTGATGAGAAATTACCTCGTCTTCTTCATAATCCTCGAGGATCCCTCCGCAGTAACTGCGATATCTCTTCGGCCATGGACCATGTTTATACAACATACCGAGTCCTTTCTATCAGGAAAAGCTGGTCCACAGAGCTTGGGCTCATCCTCCACCGTAAAAACTGAGTAGTGCCTGTGAAGAGAACAAAACGTTTAAATTTAATACTCAGAGAAAATAAGTAGGAACTAGGATGTGATGTTATTTGATTCTCAGAGAAATTATAAATAAAAGAGGTGACAAATAAACAATGGTATGGTGACGATTATTACCCATAAAACTTGTCCATGACACAAACATCTTCAACAATATCAATGACGGTAACGGCATCAATTCCTTTACTCTTATATCTCTGGGGTAGCTTTGATTCCTCCGCTTTAAACCCAGTTCCAAGCTGAAGTCATTGCAAATGCAGTGATTCGGAAATCGAGTTTATATACTTTCAGATAAAGCTCAGTTTTCAGGGAGGGCATAAACTGGTATTGGGGGGGGGGGGGGGCAACCATATTAAAGTATATTAAAATGTAGGGTTTTTTCCAATTTTGACCCGGGGATATACTTTAATATACTTTAATATACTTTAATATAATTTAATGTACTTTAATATACTTTAATATACCTACATTTTCTCCATTAAAATTTTGAACCATATTAAAGTATATTAAAATGTAGGTTTTTTTTTCCAATTTTGACCCGGGATATACTTTAATATACTTTAATATACCTAAATTATAAAAAATTATGTGAAAAATTTTGTTTTATTTAATGTGGATTAGATTTACCTTTCATGTAAAGTTAGTCTTGTTCAAAGATATTGATACTTGATCAATTTATGAGCCAAAATATATGAAGTATGAGTTCAGGGGACTAGCAACTGGCTTATCTTCTAATCTACTAATTGTAGGTATATTAAAGTATATTAAAATGTAGGATTTTTTCCGATCCCCCCCCCCCCCCCCCCCCCCCCCCCCCCCCCCCCCGGTATTATCATAAAAAGGAAACTATCCGCAATCATCAGATCTCTGTCGTTTCCAAAATACTTACGTTGAAAACTATAATGTGACAGATATCGCACTTAAAACGGTCGGACGGGATACGGTTGTTCATGCTCAACTCCTCTTCTGTAAGTTTGGGAAGATCAATGAACTTGTCAAAAACTTTTTGCTGTGGGGGGACCTCCTTTACTACCTCCACAAATTGTGGTTCTAGTTGGGCGTCGTATGTTTGGTCTGCAATGTCTTCGTCATTTATCACGTCGTCTTCATCGGAGATAGCAGAGTTTAGGATAACTATGATGATAACGACACTTCTTAACATTTCGCTAAGGTTCTGATTGGTTACCAATTGGAAATTGATGGTCATTGAGTGTCCAAATATTAATATTTGCCAGTTATTTGAATTTGAGACATCACAATAGCACTGATATCAGGATTTGGGGTTTTGGTAGAGTAGAAAATATACACCTATGTCAGCTAACTTATTGAAATATAACTAAGAAAAACATCATGAACCGAAAACGTTGGGGAAACAAATTATCAAAGAAACTAGAAACCGATACGGATCTACGCACGTAATATAAAGAACCTAAGTTCTAACTGATGTCTACGCCAGGTCATAAAAAGTGCTATCAAAATTCAAAACACATAACTCTGCACAGAACACCAATGTACAATAAATAAATTTACAATTCATATCTAAACCTTTAAACTTTTTGTCGCAATGACAATAATTTAAACGAAATCATATCAGCGGTAAAACAGCGAGGAAATATTTATCTGCCAACTAGGTATACTGAATAAAGTAAAATGTTCTGGTATTAAAAACTAAGATAGCAATGATTTAAAGTTCGTCCTTAGAGGAGATAAAATCGGCAGGTTTTATATCAACAGGCTCGGGAGTTTCCGAGAGCTCTCCCTTGCAGTGGTTCTGCAAACACAGGTCGGCGAACAAGCTGCCGGACCTGTAGAACTGGTATGCCTGAAAGAAAACAAAGAATAACGTATCTTACGTAAGTGTGACAGATTTATTAAGCAAGCATTGGAGAGGGTTACACTAACTTTAGCGTACATAAACAATGAAAAATTCCGACTGGTCGATCAACCAATCAGCCAAGCATACGTGGAACGTCAAAAAAAGTACAAGACAAATATATAAAAGTGCGCGCGCGATACTTGTGCGCGCGTTTCTCGCGCAACAAATTCATTAAAATATTCATAGCGCCCTACGTTTTGCGATTTATGTAGACCCGTTTCCAATAGAGTCTATTGTCAGTTTATGTGGCACGGCCCCCACCTTTTATTCTGACTATTATCGAACTATCACCATGCCAGTATCATCATGTTTATTTATTCTAACTTATTATGACACTAGCTATTAACAACTATCGAGAATTGAGCAAGTAAAGGAGTAATTTGGCATTGGCCTGCGTTACTAACTACAAGCTGTGTCACAATTTTAGTGAAAACCCTACAAACAGGGTTTACTTTACGATACCAAACATGTACTGAATCACCATCAAACAGTCAGATATGGGGGCAAGTGTACCACAAATGTGCCACAAATATTGAGAATACATCGCGTCGTTCGAGCTGCTTAGTGCTTACCTCGTCTTCATCAACATCTTCGAATAGACCGCCACAGTAGTTCACATATCGATGCGGCCACAATCCACCTCCCATGCTCATACCAGAAGCTGTTCGAGATGGGAATGCTGGTCCCTTAAATGTCACTGTGCCGCCAAACTCTTGGATTGAGTATCTGAAAGTGAAATTTCATCAGAAAATGTTAACTTCAATAATAATGGGTAAGTTATTTGCAGTGGATACATAAATATAATTATGTATTTATATCGTTATTAAATGTAATGTTACTTACCCATCAAATTTATCTTTTGTACAAAGATCCTCCACAATATCAAGAATATCAACATCTCCTAGTGTACGCTTCTTCTTTTTCTTTGGGATCTTTGATTCTGCTTTCTTAAAAGCTGTACCCAACTAAAATGATAGATTGTGTAATTAACTTAGTATATAATTGCTGTTCACAGAAATATCATCAAATGTTAAATGATATCTTTTCTCTGTGCATTTTTAACAAAATCTAAAAATTCAAAAGAAGACTCACATTATGAACAACAATCTGACAAGCTTCACATCTGTATCTCTCCGGGAAATGATGAGACTTTTGTTCCTCATCTGTCAGCACGGGTTGAGAAAAAGTCATGAGATTTTCGCCACCCTTCTTAGGAGAAGCAGGCTCGTCATCTTCCATTTCCTCATCAGTAACAACCTCGTCATTAGGGTCGTCATCCTTGTCATTGATAACATCGTCATCCGACATCACGTACGTGATGAGGAGGAGAGATAACAGTAAGTATTTCAACATTGTGCTAAAACAAGGGAAATGATGTTAGTTTTACTCGGAAGGAAAAAGTGATAATCCTTTTAAAGTGTCGAGTGAAAATATCTATTTGTATGATTTGTAGACTTAGTTTGGATCAAATTAAAAATAATTACTAAAGATGGTTCAGAAAAAAGATAATTTATTCATTAACAACCCCATCGCACAAATCATTTTATACAAAAATATTAGAATTACAACCTAACACAAACAATCAAACATTCAAATTATCTAACATTCAAAAATCCAAAAAAATAGTTATCGCCAAGACATAAAACTTTTGTAAGATAGATAGGTACTATAGTTAGATTTGGTATACTGGGCCATTAAACTTAATCCTTCCACAACATTTCCAGCATCTTTCAGTTTCGAAGCTGCATCTCTCACAAAATCTAACGTTCGGCCTTCTTTGGTCAACTCCTTTGCTATGAGCGGATACAAGTCAGTATTTACTAATTGAAGGTAAACTTCCTTTTCAATAACGAGGCTTAACAAAGTCTTGTTTTCTAGATCAGTTAGTACAATATCAGGGATAACATCAAAGACGAGGTCGTCATAACTAGAAGATAGTATCAGGATATGAGATAGTGGAGTAGGGAAGAGTTTGGAACAGGATAGGATAGTATCCTCAAATAGGTTGTCAGAGGTTTGAGACTGGATTATAGCCAGCAACAGTTCACTGATTTCTGGGGTGTGCTCTGCTGTAACTACACTAGGCAACCTGGAAAAATAGCCGTCAAGAATTCTAATTTTCAATTTCATCCAATTTTTCCTAAAATGTAATCCCAACTTCAATAATTGAGAAGTAATATAGCCACTACACTAATTTACTCACTTTGCGATAGTCTGGAGAAGTTGCTGAACCCAAACCTCCCTGACCTCTACAGCACTCCACAGTTTAACAAGCTCAAACAACACTCCACACCTGGCTAACTCTCTGACAGGTTCACACAGGGCCGAGTAAAACTCATCACTCAGCACACAGCTGGGCTGTATGTCCGTCCCTGGCCAGTACTGGTTAACTAGAGGCTTTGTTTTGAAAAAGACCAGCAGTTCTGTGTCGTCTTCAGTTGTCAGGTACTTCTCCAGTGCCCAGATTATGTTCTCGAGAACACCCTCACGGAGGTTTGTAGCACTGCAAACTGCTTTAAGTTTCTCTATAACACTCTTTTGTGGTACGACGTAGTGTGAGTTTTTAATGAGGGTCTCAAATAACTCCCTTTCTTCGATCTGATAAGATAAATTAAGTTATTTGTAAAACTTAACTTGAAGAAATATGTTGATCATAATTCAGATATATAACATGTTTTTGGTGGAACACTCGGAGTTATAACCGTCCACTGTTCAGTATTTAGTCAAAAATAATGGGTTATCAAAGATGACGATGCAGAATTTAAAGCGTACCTGAATGAGATTCTGAATCTCCTCCTGCAGCACAATAATTTCAGGAACCTTCCTTCCCTCCAACAAGAACTCAATCGTCTTATCAGCAAACTCCTCAACTCCCAGCACGGGTTCTCTGACTTTCAACAAACCCTCCGCATCAACACACGCCACCCCATCTAACCACATTGCTATCAGCAGCACATCCAACACCTCTACATTCTCATACGACTTCAGGTAACTCTGGAAATACGTGTCTTTGTATTTCTCAAACAGTTCAACCGAGAAATTCTCCAAAAATTGGTGGATATCAGGGTGACCTTTACAAATCTGTAGTCGGAGTTCCATTCCAATGCTGTAATCGGAAGAGAGGCAGATTTCAGTTACCAGTCTATCAAGAGCAGTTTGATCCAGAAACTGTAACATGTCCCTCACTTTATTCCATCTGTCCGAGTGTGACGTCACTGTTTTACCCTCCCCGTTAAAGAAGTATTTGTGAGCGTAGCAGTAGAACACTGCACTTTTAGTCAGAGAGGAGTGTACATTAGGTCCTATCTTCCCTATAACATGAACATTACCACCTTTAAGGAGAGGTTTAAGAAGATCCAGCTGAGACTGCGGAGACTCAGCAGCTAGAAATACTTTATAATCCAGCCCAGGAATAGCAGCTCGTATCTTGTTCACAGCCCTGAGATTAGTGCTATCATCCAGTAAGGTGTAGTAAGTAACCAGGGTGTTGTACTTTGTTCCACCGAGGAGAGGGTACAGGTCTCTGCCACATTTCTCTTTAAACCTGTCATCATCTGATAACAACACTTTACTTACAGGCTCTGAAACCTGCATCTCGTTTAGGAGCAGGTGCTGGTAGTGTTTGAAGTGGATCTCCCAGATGTCCATGTTGTATTTGGTACCCAGGGACACGGCCAGGTCACATGTTTCTTGTTCAGCTAGGTTCATGATGACGTCACGTCTGTAGGACTTGTCGTATGTGAACCGTGGTACGTTTATATTGCCCTGCATCTCCTTCAGGATGTTTCCTGGAATAAATCATAGGTCAACGGAGGGATGCGGTGGTGATACGATTGAGAATTAGAAAATTAACATCCACCAAAATTATGGTGATCTTAACTTATGCTGAACAACAACCTAACATGACAGGCTTTTTCAGGGAACAAACAAGATAGAATTGTAAGTTCAAAATCCTTTAAGTTTGAAGTATTCTAAATGCTAACCTTGTAAGATATCGCTGATCTTGCTGGATATTATCTTGATATCAGAGGAAGGTTCCATAAGAGCCGAGTTAATGACGTGATCTAAGGAAGATATCTTATCAATGTGAGAGTTGGTGCAAGATAAGGATCTGCCAAGTAACCAGTAATACAGCTCCTCTAACTTGTCCTCGTTGCTTATCTTCTCTTCCAGATCTGTGATAACAAGTGGTTACAACTTGGTTACATTATGTTACGCATGTATAATGTATAATGTATCCTTACTAAGAGTGAGGATCAATATAATATCTTCACTTTAGAACATTTGAATATAACACACACTAAATGTAGGATATCAGACGAACCACAAAATATTACAACTCACCCATAACTTCATTGTAAGAGGTGATCCTCTGAACCTTGATGCACGTGACCCCCTCCTGACCAATCCCCACCTCCTCCGCCTTCCTCTTCTTAGACTCCACGTAGCCGGGTAGTCTGTGGTACATGTCCAGTAGTTCGTCTATCTGGGAGGTGGGCACGTGCTTTATGGCGAAGTGGAAGAGAATTTCTTTGAATTGCGTGTCAGGGAAGTCAGGGTTCTTCAGTAGTTTCACGCAGAGTGGCACTATTTCTTCACAACCTGTTGGGATGGATGTTATAGATTTATTAAATTTCTAAAAGTAGACAGATTGTTCGAAAACTTGTGTCTGCACCACATTTTATCTGCTAGAAGATTAAAAAAGTGACTTCTCGTCACGTGATAGTGGGGTGAGCACAGATTCGAACAAATTGTTGAAACTTTGTTGACAACAAATAAAGGACAATTTTACTGGATGAGTCAAATTGAAGAAGGTTTCATACGAAGTTGTTATGTCTGTTATTTTAAACAATATCACCGTTTTAGACATGCCAGGCAACTTCAGCAATCACATTCCAACCTGATATTTTCAACAATAGGATTCCATTGTACACCAGTCACATATTATATTCAATGCAGTTTCCTTTGTCCACGTATTTTAGTAGCCTACTAAAATCTACATTTTAAAATCGTGAGTCAAAGGCACAAACACTGTGAGGTAGAGATAAAGCACTTTTGTATTTTCTTCTGTGCGATGTTTTACAACTACTCGAACTACGACCAGTTTGGTATTAAGAAGGAAGCAGAAAGATACGCTTATGGGGGCTGGTTATCGTTTGTGGTGACATGTTCACTATTAGGAGACACTACCATACTCATCGCTTCTATGAAATACAAAGCCTTCCGCCTTCACAAGATAGTAGTGGTACTAATACAACATATAGCTGTTTGTGATCTGCTCAATGCTCTCTGCAACATTATCCCCGTCACTGTGTCCGTGTTTTACAACAGCAGTCTCAGCTCTAATAAGGCACTGAACTGTGCATGGTTCTTTGTTAACTACTACGCCTTTATCACAAGCTCTTCTCTTGTCAGTGTACTTACATTAGGCAAGCTGCTTCTTCTCAAATATCCTTTTAGAACAGCATTTTGGTCCAAGAAGAAAACTCACAAGTTTTGTATCGGAATCTGGGTAATCCTGCTTTCCATTCCTACCCTTTTCCTTGTTGTTGATACAGATGATGTTATCTTTGATCACCGGACACACTTCTTGACCTACAAATATTCATCCAACCTGTGGATTGTACTGTCGCCAATAATTGCTCTGATCAACCTGTTTGCTCCAAATATCATAATAATCGTCTCAGCCATCCTGCTGCTCAGAGAGGCTAGAAAAGTAGCTAGAAGAGCTCAAGAAAGTCTGCGTTGGTAGGGTGTTACAACTGTGTGTCTTACAGCAGCAGTTTTTACTCTTTCGTACCTACCATTAAGTATCTATTTTATGGTAGAGCCTTTTGTAAAGAAAGATCCGCAAGTACCAGGACCGTTCTATGTGGAGTTTTTCAGAGTGGCGAGCGCTGTGATGACCTGCAATGTGCTGGCTAATTTCTTTGTGTATTGTCTCACAGTACGAAGTTTCAGAGCCTTCTTAAAGAGTAGGTTTCAGCTAAGTATGGCGTTCCTGTCTAGCAAAGTCTTTTCTCAAGGTAACATTTTGAAGAAGCTAACTTATTAATTTTATCAACGCAACATTCATCTTAATCTGCGTTCTATGGTACACTAAAAACAAATATTATCACACCTGACTAAAGAATTAAACCAAATTTATATATCATGTGGGTAGAACGATGGAATTTGCCACGCTAAAATGTAGCTATGAACTGTGAGTCGACTGACAAAGTTTCAACAGGGCAGAAACCACGGACGACAAGAAAGAACTAAACAAACAGTGCGGTAGGCCAAGTCCAGAATGGATGATCGTATTGACTGGTGAAGATAAGATAACGATGGTGTTGTCAAGATGAATATTTGGAATAATTCGGCGACCAGGACTTGAAATGTGAGAGATTTACAATAATAAATGGAAGAGGATGGGAAGAGGATAAATATATAAGTTAAATTGATAGTTTAAACAGATCATATCAAATATTTGTTGCTGTAAGTAAGTTGGAATTCTTCAGAAAGCTTTGACGTTCAATTTTTCTCAGTTTTTATATTGTCTACGAGATGTGACTTTCTTTTAGTTTCTATAGTTAAATGGACCCTTACAAAAATTCGAGACAATTAAAATGTATTTTTGTATAAAGGTCCCACACGTACCTGCATTGATAGCTTTACTGCAGATCTGAGTGCAGTAGTTCCAGGAGCCAGTGCCAGCGTTCTGATAAGCTATTTCTCCTACTCTGGTGTAAGTGTAACATTTGCTGACACCCAACTTATCTGACAAGGACATCAGCAGCTCCTCCTAAACAAGAAAGTAGTTATTGATCTATTGTAATTGTATGTAGACTAGCTAGCTTCAGAATAACGTAGTGAAACAATCATTTTTCTGAGCCAGAAAATGTACCATAAAAATAAGATTGTTTCAACTAAATCATTAATCAAGTCCTCAAGTTAAAAATAATCAAGTTAAATTAGAGGATTTAAAACCTGTCGGTAGTTGTTGCTGCTGTTAGATATACATATCCACAAGAGCTCCTGCTTGTTCTCTTTGTCCAACTGTCCTGGTCTCAGCAACACTCCAAGTTTCCGCATATCTTCCAGGATGTGCATTTTGTTCTGGATCACAGATAGAACGGGAGATATTATCGATGACTTTAACAGAAACCTGGGGGTATAAGGCTACGTTGAAGATAGAATTAAACACGAAATTTATTTTGTGTTTCTACTTTCTATATCTTATCTGTTTATATAAAAGTTATCACGATAGCAGAATATCTATTATCAGCAGGAGAAAGTCCTCTCTTGCCCTCCCCCTTCTTTAGATAAAAAGATAAATAGTTACGTCTTATCTCAATCAAGATTAGACCGACAATTTTTACTAAAAACAAACGCAGAGAACAGTAGACCACCATTGTCCATTACCCTTCTTCTGAAAACGGCACAGTACTAGTGGCCTTCTACCAAACATAAAATTATCATCCGACCTGCGATCAAAATTTCAGTGAAGTTTGATTAGCGTATAACTTCACGCTTCTAGTGTTATAAATAATATTTTGATTTCCAGGGTATATATTTCTTGGGACGATTATATTTCCTTGAAACTGTTAGATGCCCGGGTCTCAGAGCAGTGAATACGTTGGCACGTGACTTGCAATGCATCTGTCAAGATGATTCGTTCTTGTAATTCATAGGTGGCTCTTTATTGACACTATATTATTGGGTTATATTATTATTACGCTCGTGCAACTAATGTAAACTTATGTTAGCGCATGGGCAGCAAATTGCGGAACAAGATATTCAGACTTTCAGAAAATCAGTGCGATTAGTTTTGTAATCGGCACTTTTCGCCAAGGTACAATGTAGTTTATCAGGGTTGTGGACTCACAATGGCAAGTACCTCTAGTGTTAAAACTTATAGAGATATCAACCAATTGAGAGAAGTTATACTCTGTAGTCAGTATACTGGTTCAAAGAGGAACTCTAAAATATGGTTGTACTACAAGAAGTGAACTTATCTTACAGGGATCCTGCATAATTGCTACTGAAAATCACCAAACTACGAAGCCAGTTGAACATTCCCATTAATTACCAGGTAGCTTATTACCATAGATATAGCAAAATAAATATATCTTGCTTTTAGTTGGGAGCTGCATGACACAGAGATCATATAGCAGGGATATTTTAAGTCCGACAAGGGTCACGTGGTCGACTAATTATGTAATTAGGGTTGGCACGTGACTCAAAGCTCATAATGTACTGATTGGGGCTTTTTTGTCTTGTATGCTCACGTGTCCTGTTTATCGGAGACTGGGAGGGTTAAAACATCTGATATGCGTGATTTTCGTGACGGAATGTTAGTTTCAACAAGCAATAGGAACCGGCCCTCAAAGTTACACTCCGGTATAAATGCCGACTCTTATTTCCAATTGCGACACATTACTCTTTCTTCTTCTCAAGTAAACCCTACAACTACTACTCCTACACTTTCTACTGAAGATGAAATCCAGACGAATTGGAAGAGCCCCTGAATTCCACCGGAAGTACAAGCTTATAAAACATCTCGGAGAGGGAGGTTACGGAGAAGTCTTCCTGTGCCAGGAGATACTTTCTAAACGATTACGAGCTGTCAAGATCATGAATGGTTGGAGATGCTTGAACAAAACATTGTGTCCGACAAGGAAGGAGTGGCTACCTAACGAGTTGATCCTATGGGAGTCCCTCTCTCACCCCAATATTGTAAACCTACTGGACGTCTATCGAGAACCTGACGAAGGCAAATGGTATCTTGTTATGGAGTACAATCCCGGATTTGAGGACCTCTTCGAACATGTTGACAAAAGCAGATCCTTACCCTCCAAAGAAAGTGCTAATATCATCAGACAGCTGGTCAACGTTGTGTACTACCTCACTCTCCAGAACATCGACCATCGGGATCTCAAGGACGAGAACATTCTCTACAACCCCGTCACCAAACAGATCAAAGTGATAGATTTTGGATCCTGTGGCAAACTTTCTGCAGATCCTTACTCAACCTTCCGTGGTACAGATGTCTACATACCTCCTGAATATTTCCTGACTGGATCCTATCGTCCTTTCCAGGCTTCCGTTTGGGCTATTGGTTGTATTGCCTTCATCCTTCTTAACGGGGACTGTCCTTTCACGAACAGAAAAGCAGTGCAGGAGTTTAAGAGCTTGGAACAATTCAACCCGACCTACTCCAACCGGACACTGAGACTCAACTTCATCAGGAGCTGTCTGAACCCCAACCCTGATCACAGAATCCTATTGTCCGACCTTCTTCGACACCCTTGGCTTAGAGTTTAAAGAGCAGTATCAGATTTAATGACAGTTGTAAATTTAAACATGATGTTTTTGTACATAAGATATACGTTTAGGTATAACATATTTATACATTTTATTTTACTACCCTTACGAGATAGAAACGTGTTTTATTAATACTGACATATATCAAAATTACAAATAAAGTCACCCCTTTAAATTGTGAGAATTGTCTTCAAAACTATATTCCCGGTTGTCTGTACCAAATACTAACACTTTTCAGACTGAATAAATATCTGCGAAAATACTTACTTAGATTATTTTTCAGGCAGTTTGGTAATCGATAACCGTTCACATTTCTCAGAATCACCAGGTGCAGAATCATTGCTGAAGAATCATTGCTCGAGGTTCACTCATGAAATTAGCACTACTCGGCCCCGTACACCGCATTGTTTGATTTAGGCCAGTTTGGCACCTGGTACTCAAATCATTACAAATATCGTCCTGGACGTAATTGTCGCTATAAGTTATCAGCTGAAGTCCTCTTTCGTTAGTTCTTTTGTTTTGCAATAGGATAAAAATGAAACGTTGTTGTCAAGTAGCACTAATATTTGTGATGATTCTAGGGATAACCAATTCGACCAGGTAATTTTTCACCATATTGGATTTTTCACCAGCACAAAATGTCTCCACAAACATTTATCTGCCATTGCTATTGGGTTATTGTGTCGATTAATTTTCAACTATCTCAGGCTAAGCGAATTAAAGGATAAGACGGTAGATTTTGACGAGGCAGTTAATTTGCTGCGGGCTTACATCTGTACAGGGTCCTCTGGCTGGATGATAGGAAAAGACAGTGACGGTCCAGATGTTAAACTTATCAAATGGGTAAATATATTAGCAAAACTTCTGACAGGGAAACTGTCAGAAGATCCATGAAGCAAAACTTAATCATGTCAGTGGCAGGCGAACCTCACTCAAAAATAAATAATTAATATCCCGCAGGGGTGTCAGTTGTTACAGAAGATATTGTGTCCGGATCCGAACAGGCAAGACACTCTTGGAGAAATTCTTGTTACCATTGTCAGAGAGGTGAAATCGTGGATGGCATCTCATAGCCAGGAATTCCAGAACAAGATGAACAACTGTCTAGAAACGGAGCTGCATCGGGCGATCCAGCTACTACTCTGTAAAGGGGATGTATCCAGGGAGAACATTTCAGCTCTGAGGGACGGGTTCTTCAAGTCAGCTTGTTCGAAATTTGATATGTTTTGTACAGCCTTGATGTGGCTGACAGAACCCGGCCAGGTAGATGTTATGATAGGTGTAATGAAGAAAACAGCTTTTTGCAAGAAATCCCAACTCAAAGTGTCAGATCAGGCGATATTTTATTCACCCTATAATCGACAGAAGAGACAATATGACCTGGTGACCTTGTATAAAACTTACGTACACATAATCTGTTCTCCAGCAGACGATATTACAGCCATATATAGTAGCAATGATCCAGTTAGTCTCCAGCAACTGTCTCCGGAGATGAAACTTCTCATCGTGACTCTCAGGCTCAGAGGGCCTATTTGTTGTGTAGCTGATCTAGGTAGATCATACGGATAATTGCCGGTTAGACTGAATTCGGTTTATTTATTGATATTTTTTTCCATTCACGTACCCTTTTGTAAAAAGGCAATAGTGAAAGGTAACGAATGGACGTTTTTGCAAAAAAACGTGGATTTTGAAGATTGCGGTAGGTGGGTTTAGATTACAGATAAAAGTTAGGTTCTACGGCAATTGAATTGAATCACAAGTGTTTCCCTATTCAAAGCATAATGTTCATGTTATGAAGTGAGCTGATTAGCGCTTGTAGTGAATGGAAATCTAGCGTCCGCCACAACGAAACAACGGGCGCAATTCTTGTTGTCTGATTGAGTTCATATCTCGTAACCGCACAAAATTAGATGGAACTAGTACTAGTAGCTACATTCCTGTAACAACTTGTACTCAGACTTAAAATAAACATTAAACATCTAATACTTAAGTTAGATATTACGTGTCTTTTATTTATTGACTATTTCTTATAAACGTTCAGTCAATTGGTACATTAATAATTGGAGAAACGAATCAGATCGAAAAATTTTCGGATCATTTATCTCAGCTGGCTCCAATTCAAATATTTTCAAAAATTACAAGATTTGAAAAACAATCCCAACTTTATGGCTTGATGCCAGGTGTTTAATATCAAACATTCCTTAAATACCATTTTCTATCATTCTGGTCACAAACAGCTTGTGTCCTATGGAAGCTATATAGTTACAGCAAGATAAGCAACAGAAAAAAAAACCGCTCAAAGTGAACTGACCTGACTAGATCAATGTAAGTATGGTTGATGTCGGTTGCAGCCTGGAGGTACAATTCAGCGTACTTTTGTGACAGATTAGCCCAGCAATTATCCTCCAGGTACTCCTCCCTGTATCTAGATACAACACGGAGGATATCTAGATCTCCAGTCTCCAGACATTGTTCAAACACAAGCTGAGAGAATAGGAGTTTAACTCTTCTGTTACTCGATTACTACAATATAAACATGAACTTAAGATATTAGATAACCTGAACGTAATGAAAATGACTATCACATTTTGTGCAGAATAGGCAAAAATGTAAACACCCTAGATGGAATATTCGATGCTGAAATTTAAGCAAACCAACCTTGAAACAAAAATCGAAAACAACCAATTTCTTATCAACAATTTTCTTGATGAACTCCACAGTTTCAGTATCCTTGTTTTTGAATGATTCCTTTAGCAGTCTTTGCATGAGATCCTTACACAGGTTCTCGTCCTCGAACGAGTTGAAGAGTTGTGCCGGAGGGAGAACTCCCAGATGTTTCATAACCTGTTCACTGTATTCCAGTTTCAGTTGCAGTTCACTGAACATGGTGATATCTTCAATACTTTCAATGAATCATAATTCAAACTCATACTGTAAACCAAAGCAGCTTCTTTTAAAAGTCGAGTTAACGATAAAAGATGATCAATGAATCTTGCAAGTTTGATCATGATTGACAAACCTGTTGTTGAGTAACTCCACAACCTCCTTAGCAATTGACAACCAACTCTTTTGCTGCTGGCAGTTAGCCAGACATTGCTCCGTAAAATGGACTTCCTCCTCTTTTTGTATGATACCGTTAAATTCCTGGAGTAATCAAATTTCAACTTAATATTTAAATAATGTTGCACAATCACCTAAGTGTCAAAGAGAAAAATAGAGTACTTTGATCGATCGATCAAGCAATATTAACTGAACTAAAATTGCATCCTTATTATAGAGAGGTGTAATGTGCATATTAACATGTGATTGAAGCACTTGAAGCAGTGGGAGCAAACTATCACGGCATATCTTTACAACATATTTCTGAACTATACTCTTCACTTCCACTCTCTCCGATACCATCTCCTCCATATCTTGGATAAAGGGAAGATACACGTCCACAATGTTTCCTATCTTATCTTCAGGTTGGCAGTTTGCCAAAAGAGAAGAGAGGAGTTCGGGGAAGGGGACAGAGAGGATAGAATCAAACGTTACGCTCTGAAACATGAGAAACCGTACAACTTACGCATGGTAAAAGTTATATATAATTATTGGTGTAGCCTGTAAGTATCATAAATAGGTACCACCAGCTAGTACAAATGTAGGTAATAGGTAAGTCCGTTATATTAAGAACTTTAAAAATAAAGCTCTCACGGTTCAAAAACTGTTCAAACCTGGAACTTAAGTCTGCAAACAGCAGACTCAATAAGCTTTATAACAACCAGATTAAGTTTCAGCGGTACCAGTCTCTCCACTCCCAGTTCCAGCAGTGACACGGCATTATCAAACAGACAAGACTCAGATAGGATCTGATTAGCACGGGATGTATACCACTGGTACACAGAGTGCGGAGTCATGGTGCCTACTAGAGGGGCCAGGGCCGAGGATATCTCCAGATCATCAGGGGTCCTGGTGGAAAACGGTAAATCTCAAATATTATAATGTCTCAATCATTTATGGACACCGTTCATTGAAGTTTGAGGATATTGGTAAATATTAGTGGCCCTATTAAATGGCACGATGATGTAAAATTTGTCACACTATGAAACTATATAAACCCTCAATGGTTAGGATAATCGTCTCATTGAATTTATACTGTTGGGGCAAGAAAGGTGAATTTCATCAAATTTCGGTAACTTAGTAAAATTAAATTCAGTATTGTTAAAAATGAGCTCTGATTTAAACAATAAATACCCCTCAGGTGCATGATTGGAATGTTTAAATGATCTACTATATTCATTTAAACTTTACCGAATTACTCATCTCAACTAACTTGGTGCAAGACAGAGTGGATATGTCCAAGTCTATCCCGTCAATATCCTCCTCGTCCCAGTATCCGACCTCAGTATCCCCGAACTCTCCCTCGCTATCTTGTGAGATCTTCTCAGTGTCAAACCAGTCTGATAAACAAGCTTCAAGGTCCACCGAGCAACTGAAATTTCACGACTTTGTCATTTTTCAAGAAGCATTAAAATTAATGTAACAGCATAAACCCAGCAGACAGAGCTTGTAGCTGTGGATAAACTAAAAAGTAAGTGAAAGGTTACACAGGGAAATGTATGTTGTAAAGGTAGAGGTATTGTATGGTGTTAGCAGGACGTGTAAGCTTATTAACGTTGAGACCACTAGGGAGGAAGTGTGGGATGCAAGTGTATAAAGCTATTCAACCTACACAGTCTAATACATTACAGAATCAGTGTCAACGGCTTGTAGAGTTGTAGGTACATTATGCCTAGGACTATAACCACTATAGGATTTAAAAGTTGGCTCTTTGAAATTGGAAAGTGCATGAGAAAGTTTCTTAATCCTGATCTTGTTACATTTTAGTGCATTTCTAGATACTAAATACTATGAAAAGAAATATTCCTAACACTGGTGACATGTTTTGTATTTTCTTACCTTAAGGAAGGTTTGGAGACAAATTCAGGTAGAATATCAGCAAATATAACAGGGTCCAAAGTTTCCGGAAGATAAGATAACATCACCAACCAATAGGGCTCTACCAGAGGACGAGTCTGCAACATTAATATTTCACATTGTATACGAATCACATTTAAAAACATATTTCTAACTCTCAAGAATGAAATCTGAATTCTCTAGCATTACAATTTCTTAACATCAGCTCTACAGTATCAATCAAATGTAGTACCTTTGTCTTGGTCATCAGAATATCCAGAGCAGTCCAAGTGCCCCTCTTAGCAAAGAGAATTCCTATCTGAACCAGAGAAAGGGAGCACATAACCTTGAACATCTCTCCGTCGAACTCCAACTCATTTGGTATTTCCCTTTCAAGAATCTCTGAGTACAGAGCTAGAATAACTTTAGCGTTTAAGAGGAACGTTAATTTACTCTCTATATCAATATCGAGACTCTTGTTTTCTTTTTTCGGTGCTACAGAAGATATAAGTTGGGGAAGATCGTCCTCAGCTTCATTTTTTCCGCTTTTTTCATTCTCCTCAGGCGGTGTTTTCCTGTGATAAAACGAAATCACTTTAAGAGATATGCAATAGTCTGATAGCAATAAAAGCAAGTAAGTAATGTAAAATTTGTAAATAAATTTTTTTGTGTCACTCTCACCAACTGATTGGTCACTGGTCAAATATTCAGTGAAAACCGCAGAATTTCGGTCGAGGAGGCGGCAGAAATGCTTCTCTTCAAAAATCTTTCAAAATCTCTTTTTATATTTTAATGATTTTCTGTTTATCAAAGCTTTAGCTTTATTTGGGAATAGAACTTTCAGTACCACAATCGTGTCTTGTGCCATCCTCAGTGACCTTCCTAGACACCCCCCGCGCGTGAGGGCACGTTTTTGCTAGTAATTTGCGACATTACTTTATGGATATCGAATCTCGCGACTTCAACGAAGTGCTGGGGACAAGTTTTCAATAATTCATAAACTTTTCAGTTCCTATCGTTTTAAGCATCGTTAGGGCTTTCCCAGAAACTAACTCTCATCATCCTAGGATAATCATGTGTCGCACAGCACTTGTTTCAGTAGAGAGTGTACTCGCCTTTACGAGAGAATGACGTGTACGTTTCGGTCACCTGCGGAAAAAGGAAGTGAGATATCGAAAATCTGAGATAAACCCGATCGATAAAATCCTTTCAGGTAGGTGCTAGTCAAGATTTCATCTCTTTAGACATTAAGATGGCTTCAAACACCTCACAAAAAGTTTTCAAAAGTAAAATTGACTCGCGACCTACAAATACCACCATAAAACTTGCCCTCATATATTTTTGAGGGCAAGTTTTTGAGCGCGCCGCGTGACTTTGTCTCAGCAACAGCAAGACATAGTTACAATCTCGCAACTATGAACAGACAAGGAAAATATTGTATTAATATCTGTCAAAGGAATTTAATGTATTTTAACAACTTGTTCTAATAATGCTAATAACTAATCGATGAACCTCATAAATGGTCGGCCCGGTGTGAGTGTATAGTATGGATTGTGCTCTGAAATGGGGCGCTGTTATTGGTTAATACAGCGGCCAATCAGGATCGAGCTGGTTTGTGGCTGCAGTCCAAATTTAGGATCATATCTGATTAGGTACCTAATTAGTGATTATGCACTTTAAAGTAAGATTAACTCGGTATTCACAATCCACATTAACAATTGTCTGCAACCAATCAAGGTCAAGCTGACTACTTAACGTGAAAATCATATTATTATAATATAGTGTTTGTATCATTATAAGACGACTCATGTTTCTGACATGTCACTTGTCAGTTAAGAGGTGAAATGAGAAGACAGTTAGTACCATTTTAACTCTCATGCAAGTTTACTCTTCTACTGCACTGGTTTTAATTGAACTTCCAAGAACTGTCCGGAAAATAAATCAGTCAAAAGCAAAGCCCCCGAATGCACTGTACACAATCTTTGTAATTACCCAATGTATTTTATCGTGTACACTGTACAGACAGTTCCAATTAAATGCAGAAGAGTTGTTTAATGTTCCCACTTCCCAATTACAATCATAACAAACTCAAAATTGAGGATTGTATGCGGTACTAATTTCTGCCAAATAAGCACTATATAGACATCACAATTTTAATTAGCGTATATCCCGTGTGGCGTGACGGCTAGAGCGTCTAGTGCATCGCAGGGCGGTCGCACGTTCGATTCCCCGTGGAGTTCGAATTAATTTTTTGCCCAGATCACTCCGAGCACAATCATTTTTCATGATAAATAGAACATAAACAAAACTGACATGGGCCTGGCTATATCTAATTTTAAAACATAACCAGGCCAGAATTTTCTTGAATAACTGTTGAGCATCAGTAACCAGTGCAGAAAAAGAGAAGATATTTATCTCACTCCACTCTTTCTGCTGTTCTTACTGTAATTCTCCACCTCTGTTTTAGTGTCATTAACCGCTGCTGGTTCTTCTATCCTGAATGCTTGTTAAACCGGGGACCTGTATAAATATATAAGTTACAACTATTTTTTAAAGTTACAAATATCAGCTGATTTGCAAAATGTAGCGATTTAATGTGGATTGTGAATACCGAGTTAATCTTACTTTAAAGTGCATAATCACTAATTAGGTACCTAATCAGATATGATCCTAAATTTGAACTGCAGCCACAAACCAGCTCGATCCTGATTGGCCGCTGTATTAACCAATAACAGCGCCCCATTTCAGAGCACAATCCATACTATACACTCAAACCGGGCCGACCATTTATGAGGTTCATCGATTAGTTATTAGCATTATTAGAACAAGTTGTTAAAATACATTAAATTCCTTTGACAGATATTAATACAATATTTTCCTTGTCTGTTCATAGTTGCGAGATTGTAACTATGTCTTGCTGTTGCTGAGACAAAGTCACGCGGCGCGCTCAAAAACTTGCCCTCAAAAATATATGAGGGCAAGTTTTATGGTGGTATTTGTAGGTCGCGAGTCAATTTTACTTTTGAAAACTTTTTGTGAGGTGTTTGAAGCCATCTTAATGTCTAAAGAGATGAAATCTTGACTAGCACCTACCTGAAAGGATTTTATCGATCGGGTTTATCTCAGATTTTCGATATCTCACTTCCTTTTTCCGCAGGTGACCGAAACGTACACGTCATTCTCTCGTAAAGGCGAGTACACTCTCTACTGAAACAAGTGCTGTGCGACACATGATTATCCTAGGATGATGAGAGTTAGTTTCTGGGAAAGCCCTAACGATGCTTAAAACGATAGGAACTGAAAAGTTTGTGAATTATTGAAAACTTGTCCCCAGCACTTCGTTGAAGTCGCGAGATTCGATATCCATAAAGTAATGTCGCAAATTACTAGCAAAAACGTGCCCTCACGCGCGGGGGGTGTAGATGGTCATTCAAGAAAAATTCAGTCAAAACAGTGAAATTAAAATAAGATATTTTAAAGAGTTCACTTACAACTCTTCAATGATATTTAGTCCATGTTCAAGAAGGAGAGATGCAAACTCAGGAGTACTCGGAACAAATACTTCTATTTCATCAAGAACCCAACCATAATCGGTAATCTTGTACAGAAAATCCTGAAACAGAATGTTTCTACAACAAATCACAGATCATAAGAATACACTACCGTAATTTTCATACAGCCGGACCACGTGATATTAATCTTAATATATAGATATTAACAAGGAGTTAATAAGTGGTTATTGAAATACTGAGCCCTGTGCAATAATCTCACGTTTATGGCAGAGATGTGACTGTTACTCATGCTCCACTGAGCTTTGTAGACTTCATTCTTGTCCAGCCCAAACTTGTTGGCCAACAAGATTGCTTCTCCATATTCTTTATTAACTATCTTCTGGTAGAAGAGGATGGAGGGTGATGTCTGTAGGAGCTGGTACAACTTGTAGTTCACGTTCACCTCATGGGACTCATCTTCCGACCAATTCACTAGCTGTTTCATTGATTTCAGTATGTCTGACCTCAACGCTTCTCCTGATTGCTGAGGAGAAAAGTTCAGAAGGAATGTTAAGTACCCTACAAATTTCATATTTTAATCAAGATTAATGCAATTTATTTGATAGTCACAAACTGAGAAAGTTTTGAAAGTTTTAAATGGATCTTCATAAAGTGCTTACCTCGAGAACGAAAATGGATTTGATCGGAGATGGAATGAAAATAGAGGGTATTTGGAAGTTTTCTGCCTCAATTATGTCCATTGTTTTGAAGGAAATGAGGATGAATTTTCCAGTTGATGATAACATAGCAATTATATCTTCAGACCACCATCCAGCATCGACAATTGTTTCATGTGACCCTAAATCTGTAACCTAAAATTGTCAAAACATTTAATATGCATAATCAATAAGAGGAAACTAATAAGACACTTGAAAGATGTTTTTAGTAATCATGTTTTTAGTAGTCATGTTTTTAGTAATCAACTTATTGACTTGGATACACACCTTTGAGTAAGGAAACATCTTGGCGATGGACAGAGATGGAAGATAATGTATCGAAATAACCCTATTACTGTTGTTAAGAACCACAATATATTTTTCGGTTGACTTTTCTAGTCTGCAGAATGTATATCTGTTGTTTTTCACTATGCCACCTAACTGCCACTGCTTCTGTACATGTGTAAATCTGTTGAACAATTGGAGATACTGGCTTTCTTTATCAAGGCATGTATTCCAACTCCTTATAACATATCCTGTGGTGAGATCGTATAACTATAAAATGTAAGATCAAAGTGTAGTTTTCCTTTTTTAAATAATTTTAAATTTGACTAACAAAATGATTTTTAGAACTACTACTAGTTGAGTATTAGTTGACATTAATGTACAATTAATTAAGTACAATTAATTAAGTACAATTAATTAAGTACAATTAATGCAGTAATGATCTTACCATTTGACTCTAAGTGTGTGGTGATGATCCTGCCACTGCCCGAGAGGCGCATCATTTCAAGAACAGAATCACGAAATTCAAAGTTAAACCACTGTTTTTCAGAAGTGCAATGAGATAATAGTAAACCATCATCAGATAAAACAAGAAAATTGAGTCCTTCATCTAACAAGAAATCAAATGTAGATATTTGGCTGCCTATGATCATGCTGCAAGTATGAATTGTATTTCCTTGCACATCATACACACAGATTTCATTTCCCTTGGTGCAGACCCCAAGGTGGTTACTATTAGATGACCACTTTATATTAGATTCTGCCTGGATATCAACATTTATCTCCGCCAAGAGAGAGAAGGTACTCTGTTTGTCTCTGATTTCAATTGTAGAGTTAGCAACCAGGGCAACATATTCCCCATCATGAGAAATAGTTGGATTTGGATTGCACTGTAAAAATGATGAGACAGGAGAATCACAAACTTTCTGATAAGCCTGCTGACAAGAGGATGTAACAACGTCTTTTAAAAAGGGCTTTTTTTCTGTTATACATTGCTCCCAGGCATGAATATTGTTTAGCTCATAAAGCATTTTGTTGTCCAGGCCATTTTCACCTTCTTCTGCATCCATCCTGCAAAGAAAATTGTCGGTTAAACAGTATAAACCCCTGTCGCAGTAGCCTCGGAGCCGGCGCTTTGCACCGACTCCTTGCCCACCCCTTGCCCACCCCTTCTAAAAATCCTGTGCATGCCCCTGTTGTAAAAGTAACTTAGCCGCTGCGAGCGAAGCGAGCGGGCCACAGAAGGGTCTGAAAATGGGTTTGGGAGGAAATTTTGAATTATGTGGATATGGGTCAGACTCTTAGTAGTATACATTACTTGTGTGTAACACAGCAGCTGATAAGGCATGTAATGTGTAGTACAAGTAGTGAATTGTTGGGATTGAGTTGTCGGCGAGATAGCTTAATGGTATAGCACCTGACTGGTTTTCGGGAGGTCACGAAAACGTAAGTTACCTTACTGCCTTGATTCAGTTAGCTGAATGAGAATAGACCATGCTGACAACAACAACAATTTAAAATGCACAGGTGCAATCCACAATTATATTCTAAACCATACAAAATATAAAGACTTAATAGACTAAGGGGTCGTTCACATATTATGTAATCAGCCAAGGGGGGAGGGGATTCCCAAATGATTACGGTTGATTATGAGGGGGGGGGGTTGGCTGTTGATTACATAATCAAAATTTTCTTTGTTACCGTCTAAAATAATAAAAATTTTACAATATTTTAATTCAAGTTCCACTCAATTTCACTCTGATAGTGATAAAATTTAGGAATGGATCGGGTATCCAGCTGCTAAAGTAAGTAGTTGGGAAGGTGATTGGCCGGATATCATAACAATGATTTCGACTCATAATGATCAGGGTAGCATGAAACGTAGAGAAAAGTGTTTTTCAGGGGAAAAAGTCAAAAAGGGGGAGGGGGTCAGGCCATGATAACGTAAAGTAAAGTAAAGTAAAGTAAAGTAAAGTAAAATTGATGACATCACATCATCACACATGTCTACAAAATATCATCACACTGTGTGAAAAAAATATATAATAAATATTTTCCCACCAACATTAATTATTTATCATATACAATAATTTAACATTATCCTATTTTAAAAACCTTTATAATCAAACTTCCCAGTGGAATAAAGATTCATGAAACACTTCTTTGCCACATAAGGATGAAACCACATAACATTATAAATAATGCCTCTCTGGGCATCTCAAAAAGAAATTCATAGAAAATGAACACTTTACGTTTGAAACAATATAATTACAAACTTTAAAAAAATTTAACTAAATACCTTTGATATTAACCTTCTTCCTCTTAGCTACCAATGGATTCTCTTTCATATAACTTACATAACTATTCCTATTAGACACAGGCACATCTATCCTATCAAAGATGTCATATATGAAAGTTCCCAGTGATGACCAAGCTTATTAGCTCAATATCCATGAAGACGAAAGGCATCTAATCCCCTCTTGAAACCAGTAACCGACTCACTAGCTTTCACAAGTGGTGACTGGTGGTAGACTGTTCCAATAGCGCAAGACCCTTTGGGCAAAGAAATCAGTCTCATTTGTGGTGAATCTATGAGTCTTTGATCTAGCAGCAACGGTCCTACCAGAACGACCAAATAAATCGGAACCATAACCCACAAAGCCTTCCTGGATCTTGAACATCTCAATGAGATATCCACAAACCCTGCGTTCAAGCAGGGTTGTGAGGTTCAGCTTATCCAGTCTCTCTCTGTAAGTCATGAGTCCCAATCCATCAATCATACGGGTGAACGATCTTTGAACACCTTCCAATTCAAGAATCAGTGACCAGTTTCCATGCCTAGCCATTGGAGCCCATGCCTGTGAACAATACTCTATATGAGGCTTTACTAAAGACTTATACAAGCCCAGCATAACGCTTGTTTCCCTCGATATAATATTTCTTGTAAGCCAGGCAATGGTACTATTAGCTTTAGCAATGCACTTTCTCACATGACCCTCAAACCAAAGATTATCGTTATGTTTCTCTTTATTACTGACATAACTGGCTCCCTCAATTCTTACCAAAACTTCAATAGAAACATTCCAAAAAAAGCAATCATTTGTAATACTTTTAGAAATCATATCTTTCTTAAATCCTTCTAATTTAAATTTAAAGCCTAAAACTGTCACAGAGTTCTTGACATCTGGAGGGGGTTTGTTCAAATATGGAATAACTTGCTCTGGGAGAAATTTTGCTGTCAGGATGGGGGGTGCAGGTGGGTCTTAGTTACAATTGATTATGGAGGGGGAGGGAGGGTCAGGCCATGATAACGTAATTTTGCTGTCAGGAGGGGGGGGTCTTGATTACGGTTGATTACAGAGCTGAGGGGGGCGGGGGGTAAAAATTGCTAAAATGTTGATTACGTAATATGTGAACGACCCCTAAATAACAAGATAAAGGGGTATGCATTGTAGCGCGATGCGTTACTGTGATCGGCGAGATGCGCTACTGTGCCGCACTGAGCTGCGATGAATTGACATCATCAATTAAGGCTATGCACTTTTCCGTAGAAATCTCACCTCCAGAGAGTTGAGAACTTTGAACTTGCTAGGACTTTTTGCTGAAAAACTATGTTTTATTCTGAATATTATAATAATAATAATTCTATACGGTTACATGATTTAAAAATTATGGCCCCTTATTGTGGGCAGAGTATGTGTCTTTGTTGAAGTGTCCTGATTTGAAATCTGAGTGACTGAAAACCAAAGATTTACTATGAATATTGCCATAATTTGGTATGGAAGATTTTAAAGAACTTGAAAGTAAAGTAAAGTAAAATGTATGACATCACATCATCACACATGTCTACAAAATATCATCGCACTAAGTAAAAAAAACATATAATAAATATTTCCCGAAAACAGGTAATTTCTTGCTTAAAATAAAAATAGTAAAAAATAGAGGGAAATTATTCAAATAATATATTATTATTATAAAACAGGATCTTACCGACAAAAATGATTCTTAAAAATACCTTAATGCGGTAAACTGTACCCTTGAAAAAAAATTTCCCAACATCTGTTGCATGCAGCTATATCTTTAATTTCGTTCAATTCATACAAGTTGTCCATTTGCAAACTTCTACTATTCAAATAATATACACATAATATATGATATAACAATAACCCTATACAAAAATTCAATAAAAATCTTTAAAAATTTCATAAAAACCCTTTGTTGTATTGTATCACGTGGTGACCCCCACTGTCGCTTTACTATAGTCACTGTAGAGTTTCGACGATACAGGGGGAGCCGCGCACTCGTGCGCGGCGGGTCATACAACGTATGACAATATTAACGGATGTCATGTTACTAGTGACTAGGTAGTGCGCCATCGACAGTGAGCCGCGCGTGCCGACTGTATGATGGTTTTTTAGCGCTAATTTCGGCCAGCACAATTTTCTTCAAACAAATAGATATTAAGTATCCTTCCCGACCTCCGATTGCAACAAAAATTGATTAGCTTATTCATAAACTTACAAGGAAAGTGTCCGACAACAGACAAAATTAAAGCATATCCAACCATTACATATTATGTTACAGCTAAAAGCAGCGTATTTTGCCCCATTTTGATCAGTATATTAACAGTAACTCCGATATCCACCAAATTTTTCGGACAGTTGTGAAAGCCGTAATTAGTATTGAAAGGTCGTCGCCAATTTCAGAATGATCTCATTCAAGGAACCGAAGATATATCCGAATAATGCGACAAAAATCAACGAATTTGGTCAAATTACGCGACTTTTATAGCTAATTTTGCTTCAAAAGCCGCGCACCATCAAATATGACACCTAGGCGAAACTCACAGTCACTGATCTTTCCAAAAAGGTATAACAAATTTGGTATTGTGAACATTCTCACAGTCTCTAGAAAATAATGGTACAAACATTTTTTAAATCCGAGCAAGTTTATTTTTATCGTGCACCCCCTAATCACTAATGCATAATGTTACTCGTTTAAATTTCTTCGAAGTAGCGCCTTTCTTTTCGGCAATTACCTGGGTCGACCCCAGGCTATTATGAATATGTTCATATTAAACATAGCCCTGCGTAATTGAACTCTCTAAAACACGCAAGTAAGCGCGTTTATGCGATTACATACAATTACAACAAGAATCTGTCGAATTATAATATAGACTAGAAAAAACGTGCAGTCACAGCGAGCGTGCTAAATCACTTTACAGTCGATCTTCGAGATTATTTTAGAAGGGCCCCCGACAGTTGAAACCAACTTCAAGTTCAATCGATGTATTTTCGGACGCTGATTCCGAATCACCTCCCATAACATGACATAGGGTTAAAATGCTCCCCTGACGAGATATTGGCGAAAAACTGTCTCGATCACGTGATACTGATATGACCGTATAAGGAAGTTAGTATAACTTCTCGTTAGGGTTAGGGTTTCAGTGAATGCTTTTGTTAAAGATTGGGTTAGGGTTAGGGTTGAGATCAGATTAGAGGGCTAGTATTTCGAAAAGTCGTTCAGGACCAGCTAGAGAACGGGTTGAAAAAGTCACGTGACAGTCGAGTGTAGAGTGATTAATCATCATCCTGGTCACAGGGAGGAAGCTAATAGTATTTTTTGTTAGTTAGTTTAAATTGCATACAAAAATATCCGTTACAGTGCAACCGAAGATACAGCCGATTAAAATGTAGCTCGCACTAAACACAAGGTAATTACCATAAAACCGATCGAAATGACGTTAAACAATTAATATCATTGCACGTGCACGTGCGTTTAAAAACCCTCGTCACCATGGTTACTTTGCATTTACATATTTCTCATCTATTTGCACGTGGGCGGTCGTACATACATACATACAAAAAGAATCTTTTGATTTATAAGTATGATACTTTTTTCGGAGAAATAAAACAATTATACAATGTTCCTTTATCAAATTAATTAAATACATTGTAAAATTCACAATGTGAATAATATTTCTAAAATTAATTTCCAACTAAAAACCTTCTAGTGGCGACATTACTATAACTATACGATAATAGTAATAATAAAGAAAAGTAATAAGCTGGTTTGTTACACGTTATATTTATATATATATCAGCCTCTGATTCTAAAATATGCGAATATGATTTATGCCTAATCAATGTGTTTGAAGGTGATGGAGTGACTTAAAGTTAAAGAAAACTCAAGAGGCTAAAGATCTTTAACTAACTTTTTTCTCCAATTTTTAAAAAGGTGGGTTGGTCTTGCCAAAATTTGAATTAACCTCTGATTTAACAGTTTTAAAGTTACGAACGTTACGTTTTAAGTGGTTTCGACCATGTTGCACATATAAAACATTAATTTACAGTGCTGTTTACTTTTAATACGACTGGAAAAGAAAGTTAGCAAATTCATACATCAAAATATTCATCAGTTCCATAAACTTATCAATTTATTCGCATTGCAAAAACACATCCTCTCCGTGACTACAATCGTCAACGAATGCAAACGAACATGAGCTCCATTCACCACTGCTACAGGCAACATCATCAAGAGTTATTTCGAGCCCCGCTTGAATGGCCCAGTTGTCACCGAATGACCAGCTCATCTGATTAAAGTATCCCATTTCTTTACAAATAGCATCAGCTGAGTTATCATCAAAACTATCGTCACAAACTGTTCCTCCATTGCTGAGCAGTAACCCTAGAACTCCAGCACCGACTGCATCACCATTTTCATCTACCAGACTTAACACTGAAAGTTTGATTAGTGTTACTTTAAATGAAATTATAAAAATAACTCTAACAACAAGTCATAATCAAAATCAACTTTCTTAAGCAACTGAAATAGCTTTTAAGTTATTTCAGCTTAAAAACTAAAAGAGCTTAAAAACTAAAAGAACTTCTTGGATGCCGGCAATGAAATCTATGTGTGAAAGGTACTTTAACCTGGACATTCATTGAGTTTGCAAGGTTGAGTCTGAACCGCTTCCCCAACACAATCTGCACCACCATTAGCCGGAGCAGGGTTAGTGCAAGTTCTTGTTCTGCTTTGTTCACCTTCTCCACAATAAACTGAACATTCAGACCAATCTGGGTCTGTGTATCCACCGTCGACTAGATTTAAAAGATGTTATTATTATCTTGATATACTTGAATCAAAAACTCATGGACCGCCAGTAACCAGATCTTTGGATCCTGGCTTGTCTCAACGATTCCAGAAAATATGAACCAAATCTTAGAATGAAACGAGAACAAGTATTCATGATCAAGAAACTAAGATAGACTCACCAACTCCTTCGCATTGTAGAAACACATCCTCTCCGTGACTACAATCGTCAACGAATGCAAACGAACATGAGCTCCATTCACCACTGCTGCAGGCAACATCGTCTAGAGTTATTTCGAGCCCCGCTTGAATGGCCCAGTTGTCACCGAATGACCAGCTCATTTGATTGAAGTGTCCCATTTCTTTACAAATAGCATCAGCCGAGTTATCATCGAAACTATCGTCACAAACTGTTCCTCCATTGCTGAGCAGTAACCCTAGAACTCCAGCACCGACGGCTTCACCATTTTCATCTACCAGACTTAACACTGAAAGTTTGATTAGTGTTACTTTAAATGAAATTATAAAAATAACTCTGATAACAAGTAATAATTAAAATCAACTTTCTTAAGCAACTGAAAAAGCTTTTAAGTTATTTCAGCTTAAAAACTAAAAGAGCTTAAAAACTAAAAGAACTTCTTGGATGCCGGCAATGAAATCTATGTGTGAAAGGTACTTTAACCTGGACATTCATTGAGTGTGCAAGGTTGAGTCTGAACCGCTTCCCCAACACAATCTGCACCACCATTTACCGGAGCAGGGTTAGTACAAGTCCTTGTTCTGGTTTGTTCACCTTCTCCACAATAAACTGAACATTCAGACCAATCTGGGTCTGTGTAACCACCGTCGACTAGATTTAAAAGATGTTATTATTATCTTGATATACTTGAATCAAAAACTCATGGACCGCCAGTAACCAGATCTTTGGAATCCTGGCTTGTCTCAACGATTCCAGAAAATATGAACCAAATCTTAGAATGAAACGAGAACAAGTATTCATGATCAAGAAACTAAGATAGACTCACCAACTCCTTCGCATTGTAGAAACACATCCTCTCCGTGACTACAATCGTCAACGAATGCAAACGAACATGAGCTCCATTCACCACTGCTGCAGGCAACATCGTCTAGAGTTATTTCGAGCCCCGCTTGAATGGCCCAGTTGTCACCGAATGACCAGCTCATTTGATTGAAGTGTCCCATTTCTTTACAAATAGCATCAGCCGAGTTATCATCGAAACTATCGTCACAAACTGTTCCTCCATTGCTGAGCAGTAACCCTAGAACTCCAGCACCGACGGCTTCACCATTTTCATCTACCAGACTTAACACTGAAAGTTTGATTAGTGTTACTTTAAATGAAATTATAAAAATAACTCTGATAACAAGTAATAATTAAAATCAACTTTCTTAAGCAACTGAAAAAGCTTTTAAGTTATTTCAGCTTAAAAACTAAAAGAGCTTAAAAACTAAAAGAACTTCTTGGATGCCGGCAATGAAATCTATGTGTGAAAGGTACTTTAACCTGGACATTCATTGAGTGTGCAAGGTTGAGTCTGAACCGCTTCCCCAACACAATCTGCACCACCATTTACCGGAGCAGGGTTAGTACAAGTCCTTGTTCTGGTTTGTTCACCTCCTCCACAATAAACTGAACATTCAGACCAATCTGGGTCTGTGTAACCACCGTCGACTAGATTTAAAAGATGTTATTATTATCTTGATATACTTGAATCAAAAACTCATGGACCGCCAGTAACCAGATCTTTGGAATCCTGGCTTGTCTCAACGATTCCAGAAAATATGAACCAAATCTTAGAATGAAACGAGAACAAGTATTCATGATCAAGAAACTAAGATAGACTCACCAACTCCTTCGCATTGTAGAAACACATCCTCTCCGTGACTACAATCGTCAACGAATGCAAACGAACATGAGCTCCATTCACCACTGCTGCAGGCAACATCGTCTAGAGTTATTTCGAGCCCCGCTTGAATGGCCCAGTTGTCACCGAAAGACCAGCTCATTTGATTGAAGTGTCCCATTTCTTTACAAATAGCATCGGCTGAGTTATCATCGAAACTATCGTCACAAACTGTTCCTCCATTGCTGAGCAGTAACCCAAGAACTCCAGCACCGACGGCTTCACCATTTTCATCTACCAGACTTAACACTGAAAGTTTGATTAGTGTTACTTTAAATAAAATTTCAAAAATAACTCTAACAACAAGTTATAATCAAAATCAACTTTCTTCAGCGATCAAAATAATTTAAACTAAAAAACTCCTAGGAAGAAAACAATGAAACTTATGTGTGAAAAGTACCTGGACATTCAAATAATGTGCAAGGTTGAGTTTGAGACGCTTCCCCAAAACAATCTGCACCACCATTAGATGGAGCAGGGTCAGTACAAGTCCTTGTTCTGGTTTGTGCACCTTCTCCACAAGAAACTGAGCATTCAGACCATTCTCCAAAATCAGTGTATCCGCCGTCGACTATATTTGAAGAATTTTATCATCATCTTGTTATACTTGAATCAAAAACATATGGACCTCCAGTTACAAAATATTTGGAATCCTGGCTTGTCTCAACAATTCCTGCAATTTCAATCAAATCTTGGATTGAAACCCGAGAATGTATTTATGATTAAGAAACTAAGATAGACTCACCAACTCCTTCGCATTGTAGAAACACATCTTCTCCGTGACTACAATCGTCAACGAATGCAAACGAACATGAGCTCCATTCACCACTGCTGCAGGCAACATCGTCTAGAGTTATTTCGAGCCCCGCTTGAATGGCCCAGTTGTCACCGAATGACCAGCTCATTTGATTGAAGTGTCCCATTTCTTTACAAATAGCATCAGCCGAGTTATCATCGAAACTATCGTCACAAACTGTTCCTCCATTGCTGAGCAGTAACCCTAGAACTCCAGCACCGACGGCTTCACCATTTTCATCTACCAGACTTAACACTGAAAGTTTGATTAGTGTTACTTTAAATGAAATTATAAAAATAACTCTGATAACAAGTAATAATTAAAATCAACTTTCTTAAGCAACTGAAAAAGCTTTTAAGTTATTTCAGCTTAAAAACTAAAAGAGCTTAAAAACTAAAAGAACTTCTTGGATGCCGGCAATGAAATCTATGTGTGAAAGGTACTTTAACCTGGACATTCATTGAGTGTGCAAGGTTGAGTCTGAACCGCTTCCCCAACACAATCTGCACCACCATTTACCGGAGCAGGGTTAGTACAAGTCCTTGTTCTGGTTTGTTCACCTTCTCCACAATAAACTGAACATTCAGACCAATCTGGGTCTGTGTAACCACCGTCGACTAGATTTAAAAGATGTTATTATTATCTTGATATACTTGAATCAAAAACTCATGGACCGCCAGTAACCAGATCTTTGGAATCCTGGCTTGTCTCAACGATTCCAGAAAATATGAACCAAATCTTAGAATGAAACGAGAACAAGTATTCATGATCAAGAAACTAAGATAGACTCACCAACTCCTTCGCATTGTAGAAACACATCCTCTCCGTGACTACAATCGTCAACGAATGCAAACGAACATGAGCTCCATTCACCACTGCTGCAGGCAACATCGTCTAGAGTTATTTCGAGCCCCGCTTGAATGGCCCAGTTGTCACCGAATGACCAGCTCATTTGATTGAAGTGTCCCATTTCTTTACAAATAGCATCAGCTGAGTTATCATCGAAACTATCGTCACAAACTGTTCCTCCATTGCTGAGCAGTAACCCTAGAACTCCAGCACCGACGGCTTCACCATTTTCATCTACCAGACTTAACACTGAAAGTTTGATTAGTGTTACTTTAAATGAAATTATAAAAATAACTCTGATAACAAGTAATAATTAAAATCAACTTTCTTAAGCAACTGAAAAAGCTTTTAAGTTATTTCAGCTTAAAAACTAAAAGAGCTTAAAAACTAAAAGAACTTCTTGGATGCCGGCAATGAAATCTATGTGTGAAAGGTACTTTAACCTGGACATTCATTGAGTGTGCAAGGTTGAGTCTGAACCGCTTCCCCAACACAATCTGCACCACCATTTACCGGAGCAGGGTTAGTACAAGTCCTTGTTCTGGTTTGTTCACCTTCTCCACAATAAACTGAACATTCAGACCAATCTGGGTCTGTGTAACCACCGTCGACTAGATTTAAAAGATGTTATTATTATCTTGATATACTTGAATCAAAAACTCATGGACCGCCAGTAACCAGATCTTTGGAATCCTGGCTTGTCTCAACAATCCCTGTAATTTGAACCAAATCTTGGATTGAAACCCGAGAAAGTATTCATGATCAAGAAACTAAGATAGACTCACCAACTCCTTCGCATTGTAGAAACACATCTTCTCCGTGACTACAATCGTCAACGAATGCAAACGAACATGAGCTCCATTCACCACTGCTACAAGCAACATCATCTAGAGTTATTTCGAGCCCCGCTTGAATGGCCCAGTTGTCACCGAAAGACCAGCTAATTTGATTGAAGTGTCCCATTTCTTTACAAATAGCATCAGCTGAGTTATCATCGAAACTATCGTCACAAACTGTTCCTCCATTGCTGAGCAGTAACCCTAGAACTCCAGCACCGACGGCATCACCATTTTCATCTACCAGACTTAACACTGAAAGTTTGATTAGTGTTACTTTAAATAAAGTTATAAAAATAACTCTAACAACAAGTTATGATCAAAATCAACTTTCTTCAGCGTTCAAAACAACTTAATCTAAAAAACTCCTTGGATGAAAACAATGAAACTTATGTGTGAAAAGTAATTTAACCTGGACATTCAAATAGTGTGCAAGGTTGAGTTTGAGACGCCTCCCCAACACAATCTGCACCACCATTAGATGGAGCAGGGTCAGTACAAGTCCTTGTTCTGGTCTGTGCACCTTCTCCACACGAAACTGAGCATTCAGACCATTCTCCAAAATCAGTGTATCCGCCGTCGACTAGATTTGAAGAATTTTATCATTATCTTGGTATAGTTGATTCCAAAAACACATCGACCTCCAGTTTCAAAATATTTGGAATCCTGGCTTGTCTGAACAATTCCTGCAATTTGAACCAAATCTTGGATTGAAACCCGAGAAAATATTCATAATCAAGAAACTAAGATAGACTCACCAACTCCTTCACATTGTAGAAACACATCTTCTCCGTGACTACAATCGTCAACCAATGAAAACGAACATAAGCTCCAATCACCACCGCTACAGGCAACATCGTCTAGAGTTATTTCGAGCCCCGCTTGAATGGCCCAGTTGTCACCGGATGACCAGCTCATTTGATTGAAGTGTCCCATTTCTTTACAAATAGCATCAGCTGAGTTATCATCGAAACTATCGTCACAAACTGTTCCTCCATTGCTGAGCAGCAACCCTATAACTCCAGCACCGACGGTTTCACCATTTTCATCTACCAAACTGAACCCTGCGAGATGGATTAATTTTATGAAAGAAATAGAAGTAATACTAGCACTCTAGCAGTTAAACTATCATAGTACCATGATAGCGCTGGCATGTGCGACGGTCCAATTTGTAGCTCCCTACGGTAACACTTCGAGCTGATACCTTTTTCTGAGGCGCCAGACACCGAATCGAAGGATCATGCTTCAACCGTTGTTCGGTATGCCACCACCCCGATCAAATCTTTCCGATAACCTTTAAAATTATACTCAAGCTTAAGTAATATGGTGTCATTATCTTATTATGAACTCATGATGAACTCATACATTCTACCTGAGGCTGAATCCCTTAAAATATTTAGCAGACCCCTTCTTTCATCAAAATCCCGCAAGAAGACCTGTACCGAATATGAAAACAATATTTTTAAGGGCGATGGCTTTTTTTAAAGATTGGAGTTTTAGTGCTCTTCTTGATCAATTTATGTTAAATTCCTGTATTGATTCCTGTGCGGCAATGTTTTTTAGCAGTTCGTTATTAACCTCAAATGTAAAATAACTTATTCCACTTGATTTATTAATTTAATGTTAATTCGAAAGTTCTGATAATCAGTATTGGCATCCAATATGCTACTCCCAATTACTCGAACTACCTTTGAATATGGCCGGTTACATAAAAAGTAATCTCACCATGGCAGGATTGTTGGTTGCATCTCCTTGTCTCCTCATCTTCCCCCTCACATTCATTTCCTCCGTTCGCTGGAATGGGATTTGTACAGGTCTTACTCCTGCTTTGAGAACCTCCTCCACATTCAGCAGAACAAACCGACCACTCTCCAAAGTTACTCCATCCACCGTCGACTGTTAACAGATCCTTGTTTGTAAATTTAGAAACCACTGTCATTTGCTGTGCGGCAAGGACAAATCACAAAAGTAGATCGTGGGTTTAAGGTTAGTATTTTTTTTATAATTTTCATACATTGTTCTGTACCATAAAAGTCATAATACCCAACGTGTAAAAAAACACATCCATTTGATTTATTCACTTAATATTAATTCAAAACGTCCTCATAATCAGAATGTGCATATAATATGCTACCACCGACTACTCGAACTATGGCTGGGTACATAAATAGTACTCTGACCTGGGCAGGGATCAGGGTTGCAAGTCCTCGACTCCTCATTTCCCCCCTCACATTCTTGTCCTCCGTTCGCTGGAATGGGGTTTGTACAGGTCTTACTCCTGCTTTGAGAACCGCCTCCACATTCAGCAGAACAAACCGACCACTCTCCCAAGTCACTCCATCCACCGTCGACTGTTAACAAATCCTTGTTTGTAAATTTAGAAACCACTGTCATTTGCTGTGCGGCAAGGACAAATCACAAAAGTAAATTGTGAGTTTAAGGTAAGTATTTTAATTTTAATTTTCATACATTGTTCTGTACCATAAAAGTCATAATACCCAACGTGTAAAAACACATCCTTTTGATTTATTCACTTAATATTAATTCAAAACGTCCTCATAATCAGAATGTGCATCTAAAATGCTACCACCAACTACTCGAACTACCTTAATATATGGCTGGTTACATACAAAGTACTCTGGCCGACCTGGGCAGGGATCAGGGTTGCAAGTCCTCGACTCCTCATCTTCCCCCTCGCATTCTTGTCCTCCGTTCGCTGGACTGGGGTTTGTACAGGTCTTACTCCTCATTTGAGACCCTCCTCCACATTCAGCAGAACAGACCGACCACTCTCCAAAGTCACTCCATCCACCGTCAACTGTTGGAATATCAACTTTACAAGTGTAGTCACATTTCTTCAATATCTTCTCCACCTTCGCACACTTCTTCGTCTGCCTTCTCTTCAATTTGCCCTCTCCTGTAGCAGAACAGCCCTCTATTGTAGATTTGAAGCCACTGGCAAGGCATTTATCAAACTGTTTAACTTTTTTCCCTTTGCATTTTGCATCCACAACTGTCAAAATGAAAAGAGCTGCTGCGGCTAGCACAAGAGTTCGCATTTTATCAAAGGTTCGGAGGATTATAATAAAAATAAATGGTGAGGTTCGTTCTAACAAGCTTAATAATAAGCCATCATGGAAGTGTGTGCCTTTGCAAATGTACTCACAACTTAGTTTTGAATTGGTTTAAGAAAAGGAACTATTGGTTAGATCACCAAACTTGACCACACGAGAAGCAGTGTGCTCAATGGTCATTCACCTTAGTCCTGAGATGCACCTTACTGGATCAAGTGTCAGGTTTATAAACTGTAACGATTTCACACTTCACACTTCACAGTATATAACAGTCACTGTAACATACTGTAACGACGTTACATGACAGTATATAACAGCCACTGTGCAAATCCAGGATACATAACATGAAGACTTTGTTGTAACTTTGTATGAAAAGCATTAATACTGTAACGACGACTGATCTCAGACATACCGTGTATAACGGTAGTGAGTTCCAGAACTGGTTAGAGTTATATTTCGCGTCCGACACAGCGTCTGATTACTAAAGACAACAACCATGGGCGACTGATAAATAATTAATGAATAAAGTCATTTTTAAATTGCTGTCCAGAAAGAGAAATTTGAAGTGATGTGGAATGTGGATGTTGATAGTGATTACGTTATTGCATGCGGAGGCGGAGAACCACCGGGACAGAGTAGTCTATAGATTGTTTAATGTTTAGTGGGGAAGAATATCGGATGTTGAGCAGGTGCGAATCTATGATTTGACTTGTCTCCCTTCGGTTACGTTTGCTGCCTGCAAACGATCATTTGACAGTGACAGCCAAATTGTTTTATTCCGCACAATTATTGTAAACGAGATTTTCGTCTCTCCCTGTAAATTTAGAGCGAATGATGATCCAAACTCGCGATCAACATCAAAAAGTCATAGATTATGCGCATAAAATACCATTAAAAATCCATAGGTCATTTCCATAGTAAAATAGTTTAAACTTACTTGGCGACACTCCAAATAGTTATGCAATATGTAACAGCAGCGGTGACGCCCCCTCCAGAATCTAACATATGCATTATGCACTGCCTACTAGGTCCAATCCTTTAGTCTCACAGACGAATCCAATAATTCAAGCGAAGTAAAAGTTTCGAACACGTACTATTTCCATGAGTATGACAACTAAAAAGAGTAAATATTTAAAATATTCCATGACACGTGCAGCATCCATGGCATGGGTGGACATAAGACAAGAAAAAATCAACATCAAACAAGGGCAATACTAATTTGAACAGATTGGTATGCGTAACAATAATACTTGGTTCGCTTATATATTCTATAAAAATAGCAATAATTTGGGGTAATTTTATACAGTTTATTATATATTGTTTATTATATATTATGCAAAGTGAAGATAAAAACAGCAGCTTGATAAAACAACATACCTTAACATGCGAATGATGTTGCCCAATAACGTTCTAAACTCGAATCAACATCAAAAAGTTATAGATCATGGGCATAAAATACCATTAAAAATCCACAAGTCAATGAACAATGAACTTTGCGAAAATATTCCCCGTGTTAAACTGTGTTACTTGGCGACACTCCAAATAGTAACAATTTATAACAGTATTACTATTGGCCTCGCCCCCTCCAGAAATTTGTTGAAAATTTGATTTGAAGTAACATTCCGGGTCCGCACAGTTTGATCTCTAGTCATGAACGCATGTCTCGAGATCGGATGCCTGGTAAAAAGTCTACATGCCGCGCCCAGGCCGGGGATCACAGGGTCCAAATTGGACTCCAATGGCATGAGGTGCTAGGGCCTGTCGCGATATCATGGATCGCTTAGGTTCCACCAGGATCTGGTAGTCCTCATAATTCTGCGGCCTGTATGTATCGTCATCTTGCACAACTCCTTAAGAATCTTGTGAGTTTGGCATTTGAAAATTTGCAGCCTTCCAGACATTGATTGGGTCAACGAGGTGTTGTACGTCACCTCAAGATCGGGTGACAGGGGGCCGGGCTGACTAGGCCAGAACCCAATTGATTGGGTCTGAGGTCACGTGATTATGAGCCTGAGGTCACATGATTAAGACGTCACCAGAGCTTGTTCTCCGAGCTCAAGCTACTTGATCAGGCCTTATATGGAATAATGTAGTATATCGCGTGTAATTGGATCCAATTATAGGAGCTGGGCAATTATCGCAGCATATTGATCTAGTTTCACCTACTGAAACCCAGCATGCAGCTGGGCCAGAGATATTAGAATAGAAGGATTATTTGTTAATGAAAATCGAAGTGAAAATCATGTAACCCTATATTTTCGAGGACGCTGAACACAATAAAACTGGTTGTAATTATCATACTTCAGGGCAAATTGATTTAAAATGCACTTGAAAGTCATGTATGTTATTATAAGCTAATTGCCTGAGCGGCTTATCGGGTGGCACCGGTCTCTCTGCCGAATCTTAGTTATTTTAAACAACGACGCCACTAGGTCTCAGCCAATGAGCGGGCTTATTAAGGAAATATCTCGAGTTGAAAAGACTAAAGAAATTTTTCCAAATATTTGCTAAAGATCGACCAATACGGATATCAACCAATATCGAAAAGTACTACCAAGCTTGAGCGAGCATGCTGTCTCTTTTACACAAAAACTCAGTTACAGTCTTGAACGGTGCGAGAGTCTTGGTAATGTCTTTAGCTAAGTCAGTCTCTCCTGCTCCAGTTTTTGATTGCCTAGCTCCAATTAGTCATCTAAAATTCCGTGTACTACATCAGTTATCTGGGTTTATCTCTCCAACATACTGCACAGCGAGCTCCAACGGGTTTTGTAGTCTCGTTGCAGTCTGAGTTTTCACTTCGATTTTCATTAACAAATAATCCTTCTTTTTTTAAATCTCTGGCCCAGCTGCATGCTGAGTTTCAGAATGTGATACCAGATCAATATGCTGCGATAATTGCGCAGATCCTATAATTGGATCCAATTACACGCGATACACTATATTATTCCATATAAGGCCTGATCAAGTAGCTTGAGCTCGGAGAACATGCTCGCTCTGGTGACGTCTTAATCATGTGACCTCAGGCTCATAATCACGTGACCTCAGACCCAATCAATTGGGTTCTGGCCTGGTCAGCCCGGCCCCCTGTCATCCGATCTTGAGGTGACGTACGACACCTCGTTGACCCAATCAATGTCTGGAAGGCTAAAAATTGTCACATGCCAAACTCACAATATTCTTAAAGAGTTGTGCGAGATGACGATACATAGAGGCCGCAAAATTATGAGGAATACCAGATCCTGGTGGAACCTAAGCGATCCATGACATCACGACAGGCCCTAATGAGGTGCACAAAATCAGAAATTTTAAAACTTTTCAGTACAATTTCAATGCTCCCTTTTGCCAGTCGGTTCCGGTCTGCACTAGCAAACTATAATACGTGTCGAGCTAGAGTACGTGTCGAGCTAGAGTACGTGTCGAGCTAGAGTACGTGTCGAGCTAGAGTACGTGTCGAGCTAGAGTACGTGTCGAGCTAGAGTACGTGTGCACCCCATGACGCGGCTCCTCCTTGATCTCAGAATAGTCTAGACATAAGACAATTGTGCTGACAATAACAATGGAGTTTGAGGTCAGCTAAACGCCAACTTGTAGTGATTAATTGTCTCGATCAGCTCCCATTAAGATTACATTCACACGATATATTATAGTTTAACAGCATCTGATAAATGGAAAACAAACGAACGAATAGACTTCAAGTTCATAAAGTTGGTCAAGGATCGTCGCTTGAGATTGTAAATTTTAAAACTTTTAGGAAAATGTTAAATTCTCAAACATTTACTGAGAGGTTGGAAATTTCAAAACTTTTTAGATATATATTATAACTATCATCATTTTATTTCGGGTAATCAACTAACATGTTGGGTCCTTTAGTTAGGATGTCAGGGCAGAATAAGATGACTCAAGATCTGATTTACTTCGGATTTCAAGGTATAACAGCGAGCGTGCTAAATCACTTTAGTTCTATACTGCTACAGTCAATCTTCGAGATTTTTCTGAAAGGGTCCCCGACAGTTGAGACCAACTAGAATCGATGTATTTTCGTACGCTGATTCCGAATCACCCCTATGACATATAGGGTTAAAATACTCCCCTGGCGAGATGTTGACGAAAAACTGTCTCAATCACGTGATATGACCATATAAGGAAGTTGGTATAATTTCTCGTTAGGGTTAGGGTTTCAGCATATGATTTTGTTAGAGATTGGGTTAGGATTGGGATCAGATTAGAGGGCTATGATTTCGAATAGTCATTCAGGGCCACCAAGAGAACGTGTTTGAAAAGTCACTTGACAGTCGAGCGTAGAGTGATTAATCATCATCCGTATAATAGCAGGTTCAGTACCATATTATTGCCAAATCAAATAAATAATTGGTTTTAAGTACTACATTTTCCGGCAAACCCGATTTTATCTCAACAAGAGAATATTCTGTAAATCAAACCATCAATCAAAATAATTCATTTGCAATCATATTATCCATGAACTATTAACAGCTCTTAGTTTTTATAAACATTAAATCAGTACGCATAGTCAATACGTGTAGCTATTCATAGTGGAATGCGAAGGCACAATCATTAAGTCATACGGTAATCTAAGTTGCAAATGCCACATATTAATCGGTAGCAGTTCATCTATGACCTTTAAAACAGTAAGTTTATATCCAAACGACAACTGTAACGGTAACAAGTATGTGGTTACACGGTCAGACTTTTCGTAAGACTTTTCGTGTCTTCCTCCTCCTCAGGACAAATCAGGTCAGGATTGACACGTGGCATCAACTGAACAGTACCGGAGCCGAACACTGTCTCAGTCATCTGTACAGCGACTACTGGATAGAGGAGGAAACAGCAGAAGAAGTCCTCCACAGGGTTTCCTATGATGCCTTTATCAAGTCGAACTGAGACTCGCACGCTGGAGACGAGCGAGACGAAGAAGAAATAGAAGACGAGAGAGAGGGCCAGCATTCCTGTCACCTGAAATGAACGTGAATAAGGACCTATAAGCTGATTATGAAGATACAGGGGACAATAATATGACAAATGTACATTCTTTGAACTCAAATTGTGAATAATATCATATCTTAACGTTGTAGAAATAACTTTTGATTGTTACCTCAGTAGTGTACTCAGCGAGAAGCAGAATAATGAATCCTAGCCAGGTTACCACAGTAACGCAGCACATCAGTACCCCAGAGTACTTCGCTCCACTGTCTAATTCCACCATTACTCGGTACAGTGTCACCGGACTGGGGTGGTTCATTTATAATTTAAAGTCATGCACCATTTTTTTAAATCATTAATTTTCGTTGTTGATGATATATCAACATTAATTAAAGTTAATTCTTACATTCACTAATTACCGCTTGAAGCTTAAATTAAAATTTAAGAATACACAATTTTTTTAAATATTGGAAAGAGGAGTCTCCAACACTCACGTCAAAACTATTTCCTTGATTATATCCAACCACAGCCTCGGTTTTATAGAAGTGAAGGGGTCGAGTACAGTGAACGCGAAGTCAGGTCCGAACGGGTCGATATCTCCAAGCTCCATTGCCAGAGCTCTCCACAATGAAACACACATGAAACAAAGGAGGATAGTGTAGGGCAGTCCCGTGATAACACTCGCCGTCTGAGGAGTAGACCGGGTTAGAGAACCTTTCTCTGCCTACATTCCAAAATAATCTAAATGTAGTACTAGTCAAGAAAATGATGATATGTTACTGTCCTAAGTTATTGTCCTTAAGTTCCAACCCAAGTGTAGGTTACAGTTGGAGTCTGAGTAGTTGAGATGTATAAGTTATACCTGGAGAGCTTTTAGAGAATCAGTTCCGCCAGCAGCTAGTAGAGCAGTAGCAGTAGCACCCTCAACCAGGGCCCAGAACAAACGCTGTAACACTGGAGGTTCCTGAACAAAACTATTTATAACACACGAGGAACACGTTCTGAGAAACACGTGCAAAGTTCGACTATGCGGCACGTTTGTTTGCATATTGAGTTTTGGAAACGTTCGGTCATGTCATTAATATCAGCTAATCAGACATCATGGCATCATCTGAAAAACTTTACTGGTGATCAAGTACAAAAAAAAAGACTAACCTGGTCACCATTAGCGGAAATGATATCGATGATAAGACTGCCAGAATCGGAGCTAGTGACGAAGTAGAGGACGATGGCGAACATACTGAACCCAGAAAGAAAGGGGCCCACGTCTCCAAACGAGTACATCAGGGCGAACCACATGTCATCAATACCAAAACAGGACAACCTGCGTAAGGTAAGCTGGTAAATTCTAAACAGCGGGTATTTCGGAAAAGTGGAGGGTTTGTCAATGTATAATATATCAACAATTAATATACATTTCGATATGATTCGAACAAATTGAAACAATCAAAATGGCGGGCAAACGATCCGTTTCATGATATGTACAAAACAATGCCAATATCTTGATCTAATGCAAACGACAAACCCGACATTTACCTGGTTTCAGCGTAATCGTGAGACGTTTGTCCGAATCTTCCCCGCGTCGCAATCAGGGTCTCTGAAAAGGACAAATGTTAAAAGAAATAGAAAATATTAATGTAGTGTTGTTAAATGAAGTCTTTGGTGGTGGTAATTTGGCCTGTATGCCAATTATATTTACAATAAAATCTAAGGGATGAAATTGTTCAATGATCCAAGAAACAGACTTTATCCTAGAACATGAAGAGTAAATGCTACTTTTAAATTGTTACACTTAAACGTTATCTCATTGGCTACTGCCTAGTGCCTACTGGTATCTCTACATGCCAACCAGACAGGGGGGGGGGGGTAAATGTTGGGTAAAATATCCGAATCTCCCCCGGCCAAGTGCACGATTTATTATCATTAGTTATTCAGTATCATTATAACAAAATAAGTTCTTAGTTTAGAATTGTATTTGTACGAGGATAGTATAATGTGCGTGATAGAAGTGTACGAGGGTATACCTTATCGGACCTTATTTGGACGGACATTACTTGAACGCTGGAGGTCCTAGCGTTCATCTTAATGTCCGTTCAAATAAAGTCCGTTCAATTTATGTCCGTCCAAGTTAAAGTCCGTTGAAATTTTTTCAAAAATGTTTCCATTTCGAACTTTTTGTCCAGAATATGACAACTTTGAGAACTTTATTGTGCCGTAAGTTAACGATGGAAAGGTTCTCCTTGGTCTGCCGGAGGCACAGAAAACTCTACTAGTATATGATATTTTCAAGGGTCACTTGGCGGAAAAAAGTCAACGAAATTATGGCACTCAACAACATAGTTCATGAACTAGTCCCCGCCAACATGACAAACTTGTTCCAGCCTCTAGATATTACGGTAAATCGTGTTTCCAAGGACATTGTCCGACGTTGTTATAGTTCATATTACTCGGGGGCGGTCATGAAACAGTGCTAGGAAAGCTCCACGTGATGTTAAGGTTAACCTAAGTTGTCTAAGATAAAACCACTTCACGCCGAATGGCTTGTAAACGTTAACACTGAAATGCAGGACCGGGGTAGTTTGATAAAAAAGGTTTCCATAAAGCTAGAAATCACTGATGCTTTAAGCATGGACTATTTCATGCACGAAAACCCATTTGATGAAGATATGTGATATTAGACACTGATCATGTACACATATCTTAACATTTTTACTGCTCAATGACTGCTTTTCTTACTTACTGTATAAAAAATGGATTTAAAAATCATTTGCTGAAATTTAAAAAACGTCAAAAAAATTGAAAAAATTCGGATTTTTGATGGTTTTGAATGCCTTCGAGCGTTCATATTAATGTCCGTTCATAATTATGTCCGTTCATGTAATGTCCCGGTCCGTCCAAATAAGGTCCGATAAGGTAGTTTGTGCGTAATAGAGGTGTTTAGTCGTCTGCGCCAATATTGTCCGGTCGGTTCCATGAATCGTCAAAGGGTGTCTGCTGACCGAATGGATACAATAACCAACCTCAGGACACAGTTCTATGTTGTCTATCAAAGGGTTATGATTCAGTATCATTAATTGTTTATGGAACTGTACGTGGGGAAACTATCATGATCTTACACAGAGTTACAGAGCCGCTAATTTAAATTTTCCTTTCCAATTGTATCGATCATGAGCTGTCAAAGGGAACGAAAACAACAGGAACTTCAAGACCTGTTTCCATTTTTCCCCTTATCGAGTTATCAAAGGTTGCAGGGTTGCTCTTCAAACGCTTAAAAATAAGTTACACTGATGTATAGCACCAACATGGAAATTTATCTTGTCTGAAACATGACGCAGTCTTTATTAGCAGCCGCGACACCCATACTATACATTACCAATTATTATTAGCAAGTCGAGGGAATTTGAATGTTATCATCCACAATGTACTACTTTATTTGGATTATATTTGGTGTTATACTCAATCAGAAATGACCAAGAGCAAGTAAGTTTGACGTTACTCGTAGGGGTTCGTCAAAAAGGTAAAATTTGAGCTTTCTTAAAAATATTTGGCGGCTGACTTCTGAAATTTGGAATTCCATATGAAAAAATTCCACTCCAAAATTCCACTCCAAAACTACAATTAGCAACAATGATCAGAATAGTAATACTTAGTACTTACTATAAAGGTCAGTGAACGTATCGTGAGATTCTGCGGAAAGAATTGCAGACTGGTTATCTCTAGTCAGATACCACCCAATGATCTTCTCAGCACAAGGATTACATTTGGCACCTTCACACAGAATATCCCAGTTCCCATTTAGACTCCTCCCAATATCCTCCATCCGTACTCCATACTCGCTCACAAACCTCCCCTCCTCCTCGTATGTGCCGTTAACAACGAGGGGGTTCCATTTAGGACAACACAGGCCCACCCCAGCTGCTGAGCGCTCTCGTTGTATTCCAGTACCTCCGAATACTACCATCCAGAGGAAAGAGTAAATGACTGGGGCCGTCAGAGCTCCTAAAATAAAGTTATTAAGAGCCCTTGTAATGAACGAGTGTTCTGTTATAGTCCACAATAATGGGCAGTTGTTGATTCAAAACTGCATTTTATATATGTTTTGAATTTGATCTCTTGATCTCGTAAAACCATTAATTCAGACACATTGGACATTTGAAACAAATTAAAGAATACAACAAATTTTTGGAATTTAAAAATACAAACCATTGACAAACTGCCTGATTGTTCTCCCTCTGGATATCTTAGCAATGAAAGTTCCGACAAAAGGTGACCAGGAGATCCACCATCCCCAGTAGAATATAGTCCATCCGTCCATCCAGCTACTCGGGCCATCAGTGCTTGTGTCTTCATAAGCTCTAAAGGATTGGTTATATTAGCAATCGTCATAATTTCGTCATATTGAACTGAATAACAGACTTTACAACGTTGCGGAAGTTAAATTCAGAAAATGATTAATAATCAATCTCAGAGCATGTTCACTGTTCAATTCACTAATACTTGGTAGTGACTAGCGAGTAACTAATATGTTCAGACATATGTTCAGACCTGCCGCGATCCTTGCCGCCAAAAGAAGGGACACTCATTTCAAATGCATCGGAATGTGTCCCCAGCTGCAGAATCCATTGGAAGTAGTAACCAATACTTTGAGTGAACAAATTTAGTATAAACCTGAAGAGACCGGACGATCAGCTCAATATTATAATGCCAGGATTCGACAAGTTATAAAATACCATCATTGTACACGAATATGGTCAAAACGTTTCAAGACACAGACATGATTAACTAACCAAGGGTCTCCGAGGAAGAATATTGCCAGTAACACAAACATTCCCACTGTAAAACAAACTTCACTGATTCTCCGGATCCCGTTTCCGAGTCCCGATACCACTGATATGGTGGCGATCAGGGTGACACACCAAATTATTATCACCTGGAGGAAACATGCGAGTGACATGCTCCAACTTATAGATTTTTTTTTATATCTAGCGTTTTTCAAGACGACAATCGCATGATTAATGAAATTATTTATAATATTCAGGTTTCATTTTGCAACTAATGCTACTCGCATTACAGGTATCATATTCGATACTCTCATATGATATTAATAAATAAGCTAGTGGAGGTTGTAGTTTGTACGCAAGATCATATCCCTGGCTCACTGACTGACCTGGTTCGTTACACTCTTCTCGATGTTAGGGTTGATGTAGTTCATTCCCGCGTTGACCTGTACCACTCCCAGCCCCAGCGAGGTACACACCCCAAACAATGTGGTGATAACGGACAAGATATCAATCATATCTCCGGGCCAACTGTAGATCTTATCTCCTATCAGGGGGTAGAAGCAAGATTTCATCGTCATGGGCATCCCCTTTCTGAATGTAACGAAACCGAGGAGTAGTCCTACTACTACGTATACTACCCATCCATGAATACCTGCGGAGAAGTGAATTAGAATATTATTTTCAGATAACAAATTTGAAGTTGTGATTTGCGTTCGTAGTTCCACGTCGTTTAGGCGAAGTTATAAAATGGCATGAGCGTGCTTAATCACTCTACACTAAAGATCTTTCTGGAAGGGCCCTCGGCCCCCAACTTGGTTCTACACGTGTTAGTCACGTGATAACAGGCGTGGAGTAATTAACCATCAACCAAGATGGCACTCATTCTTTAGAATATCATAAAATCAAACACTGTTAAATTTAGGACGAAAATACACAATTATAAGATGAGGTTACGAACCCCAATGATAGAAAGTGAGGTTGATAGCTTGCTGAGCGAGCTGGTTATCGGGGCTGTAGCTGTCTGTAGTGTACCGGTTATCTGACGTGTAGTGGTAGAGAGGTTCTGCCACTCCGTAGAAAAACAGTCCTACTCCCACACCACAAGCAAACAACATTGTGAACCACGAGATGTCGTTATATTCTGGCTCCTCGTGGTCTTGTCCTGAAGAGGCAATTTTACTTTTAGTTTTGTCCTGATATCAAAATTGGTACTTTTTTGTTTTTGCTTACTTCAACAATCAACACTTACTAAAATAAGAGTTGCTAAAATACCAAATATAATTGTTGTGGAGAATCCTATGCACCATTGCTAGTACAATAACGCGATGAAGAATTGTAAAAATGTGAAAATTTCTCATCTACCTGTGAAGTGTGAGCATATTGCTTACCTAATTTGATCTTGCCGTATTTGCTGAAGTAGATGATGATAATGATAATAGCCCAAACATCCTGTGACCCAATGTAAAGCCAAGTGAACTTGGCAGTAATCCAAGTTTTAGCTGATACAAAACTTTCTCCAGCACCTGCGGGTTAAAACTTAAAAGATCAGCTACAAGTTCCCTCTCGCCGCTTTATCACAATGCTGGCAAGCATAACCGTTGCCCTTATATTCACAACACTATGTACCCCCTATACTATTATATCCCCTTTATTGTTTTCCAGGCATTAAGACTCATCGAAAGAAGTTCAGCAGGTATATTTAAGTTCAAAACATTCTAATTCAATGTTAAAGATGACAGGAATAAGAAATAGTTATGTGGAGGTTTTTAAGAAATTTGCGCAAAATACGCGCCAGCATGTTATACGAAATTAGGTAAAAAACCCAAAATCGCCATATTCAGGTGCCTTAAAAACCATGTTAAAATTGAGTTAGAGATCTGAAACTTTGCAGAGCGTCTAGACCTTGTCCAAATCGACTGTAAAAAAAATTTCATGTTGCAGGAGTATCGGGAAGTGGGTTTTCTGGAACCCCTGTTTTACAACAGATTGTCGTGAAGCTATATATATATGTATAGACGCTTTTGCAGTAAATTGTAGCCTACATTTAAGTGTCCGTAGATTCAAAAGTATAAAAGATACAGTCATTTCGAACCACAGGTTTTAAAGATAATTGTTTATACTTTAGTTTACATTATATCGAAAAATAATTTATCGTCATCATCATCACTTGATGACGTCATCAATTTAAGTGTTTTTAAAACTTGATTTTTGACAAAATAACAACTTTTCAAATCGATTTTAAAGCATTAAGGAGTAATTTTATTCAAAATCTGAGGACATTTTCATCTTAGATAATTGTTCAAGCATTCTGAAAATCTACCGGAAAGTTTTCCTACCTTGCTCCTTCATAAAGATATTCGCTATTGAAGTTTGTGCTTTTTTGAAGAATAATTTTATAAAAACACAAAAGTTGTGAATTAGTATTCTCTGGTGTTGGGCCATCCCTTGGGTTGTGGAGCTCAATTTTGCTTCCTAAAGGTCTAAATTGTGTTATAGGCTAGTTTTAAAGTTGAAAATCGAAAAGTTGCACACGTGGGGACACGCCCAAATTCATTTAAAATAGCTAAAATCACTAAAAATTGTTATTTTCACGATTTTTACCAACTTTGGAGTCCCGTTGTGATCCAAGTTCTTTTTGAAATCTTCTGAAACTTTTCATGCTTATCAAACTATATATTAAATAACACTATGCAAAAATTTATGGTGATTCAATATTTTATGCGCACGCAACGTCCGCTCAAAGTTTGCACGTGCGAAAGGTGAGAATTTTGCTCATTCGTGATTTCGAATATATTCTGCTTTCCCACGATATTAAAATGGCATTATATATGAATTTAATGCCAACTTGAATGAGTAAAAAGTGCTATATCCAGTCTGTTATTGACAGATATGCCTACCTAAACACAAGGAAACGTTTTCAAAGGTAAAATTTCGAAATCGTTGAAATTACCTCCTTATTAAGTTTCGACTGTGTAAATTATCCTGACATTATAATCAAAAAGAGATGATATTTGACCAAAACCCATAATCATGGGTAGAGTGAACCGCTGCCAGTGTCTCTCTTTTCCAAACAAAAGAAAATGATATTAATTTGAGGAACCGTCCGCAAATGCAAATTGATACCGAGAATGAAATCGGTCGCTCGCTTTTCCCATTCATTCACGGCTTACGTATTGTAATAAAGCTTATTGAATGGGAAAAGCGAGCGACCGATTTCATTCTCGGTATCAATTTGCATTTGCGGACGGTTCCTCAAATTAATATCATTTTCTTTTGTTTGGAAAAGAGAGACACTGGCAGCGGTTCACTCTACCCATGATTATGGGTTTTGGTCAAATAACGTCATAGTTATTTCATGATTAAAGATTCTCGAAAAATTAAGTCTTTAAGAAATTAATGATGTTATGATTTTCTTCTCGAATCAGTTTGTATTAAATTGTTTTATGTGAGCATGGCTTACTTAGCCAGGATATACGTTTACTAATCAGCGTATTAGACTGTACATATTTTTAACTGTTTATAAATTGTTTATAAACAGTTTGATACGATAACATAATCATACAGAAAAAAGTGTATATAAACACATATTTCTATGTTTATTCTTAGGATGCATCAATATGGTCTTCTCAACAAGGTCTTATGAGCATGCTGAACTAAATTGATAAAAACGGTGTTTCTTTTTTTCTCAATTCAGAGTAACAACATCCAGCTCTAGATACTGGATACTTGAGGAGCTTTTCAAATTTGTGGGGCTTTGGGTTCTTGTTACGGCAGCTCTCAAAATCTCAGTCAATAGAAAATGCATTCATCGTGGAGGGAACTTTTGGAGCTTTATAACGATTTTGTATGGTAAACTGTGTGTTTTCATTAGCCCCGAAAGGCCACTTTCCCGTGTGAGACACAACCTTCCTAGAAAAGGGCATCAATAGATCGCAAACATTGCGTTGCTGGATCAATTTGTACAGCTTCGCATGCACCCCTTGCAGCGGCCCGGCGGAAATGGGTCACGCAGTAACGTGTGACAAGGAGCAATGAAATTGTTGTATTTCGAAATCCAGAGGTCATTTTGTGCGATAGTGCCACTATTATGAGCATCTCATTAATCGAGAAAGTCCTTTGTTCACAGATCCGACTTGACTGGCCGGATATTGTCTGCAGTTTTAATCATCCGTAGTTACAGCTTTGCCCACACCACATACGACCATACGTGTATAATTATGTACTAACATAGTTCACAGCCTTTTTCCCTTCTTTTATTCGATCGATAACAAAACCGCGGGGTCATTTGGCATTTGTTCACCTTATAGCCAATACAAAAAACTGTTAAACAGATATACTATAGAAGATATTGTTATCGTAATACCTTTAGCATCGATAATGCACCAGAGTACAAAGCCAGCCACAAGAAGTATTGAGCTGAAGCTGACTATCGGGTTAAATCGAAGTTCAGGAGCGTACTTCCCGCTTCCAAACTTCACTTTTATCCATGTGTTCCTATCCTTCGTCTTAGCATTCTGAGGGTGAACATGACTGTTACAGAAACGAGATTTATAGCTGGTTCGTTTGTTCATTTTTCGCAATTGCTATCGATATAAATAATTGATGGTATCATTTGATCCAATATGATTTTGTAACCTTCAAATTGTTATTTCTTTATTAGGGTCTGCCCACACTACGCCATGTGTCGACGGGCCACATGGCGTGGGTCAAAAGGCACAGTGTGTTTAGAGCTCCCGCCATGTGGCCCGTCTATCTAAACACATTGTGCCACTTGGCGTGGATTTAGCAAGGGGAATAGAGGCACGGATTTTAAAAATCCGTGCCTCTCTTCCCCGAGAGTTTCCACGCCAACTGGCGGGAGCTCTGCCCACACTTCGCGCCTCGTTGTGTGAATCCGTTTTTTTGACCCACGCCATGTGGCCCGTCACCACATGGCGTAGTGTGGGCAGACATTCGGGGAATAGAGGCGTAGTGTGGGCAGACCCTTAGGCTAGATCATCCATGACAATTGAACTAAATGTAATAAAACGAATATCGAAAGGTCCAGGAATTTAAATAATGTAAAGAATGCGACTGACTTGCCACACGAAGGTTCCACGACGTTCAGGATTGTGAGGTTCCTTGGGAAGCGTGGTGGTGGAGTTGGTTTCACTCATGCTGCCCTGCATGTTGTACGTAGCTTTATCAGCAACCACTCTATCTCTCTCTCTCTCTCTCTCAGCAACCACTCATGTCTGACCTGGATTGATTCATAGTTTTATCACGTATTTGTTTACAATCTGAAGGCTTGGAAAGGGCCACAAATTAACGATCAACTTTTAAGCGAGACAATATAAATCGTTCAAATAAAGTCTGTCCGTTTAGAGTCCTTTCACATTGGTTCCCAAAAGTATTCCACTACAAACTTATTACCCAGGATATAACTACTTTTTAATTTCGGATTTAAGTACACCAGCCAAATGTTTTTTTAAATCATATGGTACATAACAATATAATTTTATCACAGTGCTGGCAAGCATGACCGTTGCAATTATACTTACTATACTATTTCAGTATTAATTATTATTTCAATATAAGTAAAGATGAGAATTCAAAAGACAAAATGTTATAGGTAACACATCTACGAAATGTGGCGTTAAATGCCTTTGCACCCACGTACACTGTTTTGTCTCTAACCGGAAAGGAGGTTTACTATCGGAAATAAAAAATGAAGTATAATAATGGGAGAAAAATTAGACTCTGACGTAAACAATAAGCAAAAATTATAGATTGAAACCAATTATTGTTCTACCAAATTTTTGTGAAACTTTGATAATTGGTTGAATTTGAATTGGCCAATAAAGATTTTAACTTCGTTAATACTTCTTAATTAGATTAAAGAAAATTTGGTGGGTCGTGACGCAATAAGCAGCGACATCAACTTTTCACTTTCAGTTTGCACGCTTCTTTAATATGGCGCTAATAGCCGAATTAAAGTTGCGGTAAAAAATGGTTTCGGGAACCGGATTTACAATTATTAATGGTAGCCAACAACACAAGCGTTTATTCGGCCATATAAATATAATGCTGGGGTGAAAGTTACTTAAAAATCTCGCGATATTATTGTACCATAGCAATGGACAGCACTCAATACTCAGTAGCACTCAGTACATAGCACTTAGTACTCAGAGTCAGTGCAGTTATGGGTGTGACCTTGACTCTTTTGTCCGGCTACAATTGATCCCTTTGTGAGCGGTGAATATCGAGAAAACGATTAACCAGCAAAAGGGACAGTGACACCAGAAATATCGCCTTTGACCACAAATTACACCGTTGGTGTGAACCATTCGCGAATTATATAGTAAAGTTGAGGCTATCCAACCAGACATAATCATGTATCTATACAAGAAGACAAAAAACATTTAAAAGTAATCGCAAATCTAACTAGGATACCATCCATTAAAAAGGAGATGATTGGTACTAATATAAAGCAGCAATGATCCCATCATGAGCCCCGCAGTAAGTTTACATCAGAATGATCACGACACTATATCAATAAGAATTACTGGCGAGTATATGCACATCTTCTGCAAAATCGGCTGGTGCTCTATTTTTAGGATTAATTGTAATATTACTTTCAGTTCTTAATATAGCACCGGTTCATGGGATGATATTCAGATTAATCCCAGTGCCCTGACAGTAAATTAGAAGTACGGTCTGCACATATAGTTCTAATGAATTGGAGCAGCTAATATCGATCCAGTCGGATGTTAGAAAAGTTCATTCAACCGATCAATTAATCCTGCACCTCAATTAAGCACATTTAGTGGCTGTAAACAAAAATGTCTACAAAACATACTGTTACTTCCTTATCAGAAATACATTCTGATCTACAAATTTAAAAATTAACCAAGCGTACACAAGCAGACAAAATTAATCAAGGTCTAAAAAGTAATTATTAACGAGAGTATATTCAAATTTATGTTTCTTTGGTAGAATATCCTGTTAATTACAAATCTAAATTTCTGACAGGTGCTAAATAAGTAGCAATTAACCCTAGGAAAAACATCGTCATTTTGGCGTTGCTACAATTTTCTCAGACAATTAAATCAGAGAACAGACTATAATTCACTAACATTTCATGAAGATCATAGTAGCTGATTGGACCGATCGTAGTTGCTAAAACAACTTACCACAATCACGAGGATAAGATCTAAGGACCAAACATATCTCCTTCGAATCAATTTTTAAATAAAAGCCGAAATCAAAATATTACGAGAAACAACCTAAAACTTACGCTCATGTAGTAGTAAATCGTTAATATCTTGTGATCATCTACCGGCGTTATCGCTGACAATAATGGTGGTCCTGAACCAAACGAACACTGTGTCTCCCTGAATCCTGATGGTTACTCCACGCCAAACCTAGATACAATGGATTCGGTTATTATGTGTTTTCCATCTAGGTTATGAGGTTAATTGACTAAATTCGATTCCTTATAACAGTAACAGTAACTTATATAAAAGTTGTCCATAGTATTCAATAGCAATTCAATGCTGGTTAAGATTTTACCTATTTCAGCATTCTTCAAGTAGTGCGTGCCTGTCAGATAGTGGGAGCCTTCCGTACTTTCCTTTTTATCATCACAGTCTTAAGAAGAGTAGTTGCTTTTTCGTACTAGTCTAGTTGCTAGTCTAGTTGCTAGTTTCCTTTTTATCATCACAGTCTTAAGACTTTAAGAGGAGTTGTTGCAATTTCGTAATAGTCGTTTAGCACATTATACAGCGTAACAAAGTTTGAAAAAAGTTCTATCAGGGAGCTTTATTGCTAGCTAAAGGATTCTATTTTAAGATAAAGAGAAATGAAGTGTGACTGATGAGATGCAGCATATTACAAGTGGACTGATTCATCATTACGACGGTAAGTAATCACTCTATTTGTCTCCCTCTCTGACGTTTGGTTCTTCTTTATTTCTTTCTGAGTGTTCTCAAGCTTAGGAGTGTTCTCAAGCTTAGGAGTGTTCTTAGGAGTGTTCTTAGGAGCTCGGCTTGATGTTGCTGGGGTTCTCTCTTCTTTACCTGAAAACTTGTTTGTCTCAGAAATATCAATCTGGTTATGCGAGTTCCGACTGTAGCGCTGAACGGCAAAAGACTCACTTTTCTTTTCTTTATGTATCACTGCTTGACTAGAGTTTTCACAGCTTCGTCCATTCTGACTATCAGATTTTGTCGTTGGTCTGAGATTCCGAGTTGACAGACCGACAATGCTGGCTACTTTTCCGAAAATATCAGAAGCTAAGTTACTGTACAAAACAGGGTTCATAACAGAGTTCAAGGGCAAGACAACAATTGACAGGACGGGGTAAAGAGGTGTAGCATCGAGCATGGAAAAAGAGTGCAGGAAGCATATTATTACAAATGGTATCCAACAGCACAGATCTGTGATGATTATGACAGTGATCTTTCTGTTTAGTCGACTTTGTTTATCTATCTGAACGCGATCTGCATTGCTGAATTTCTGGACAGCCTTTCTCGATTTCCTTAATATCGTGGCAACCATACCATATGATACTACGGTTAATGATACGCAAAGGAAGTTTATCCCAAGGGTAAGCCACACAAAAACTCGTTGGGGATCGTCCTTGTTGACAATGTACTTAAAGAGGCATACACCATCATTTCCGTAAAAGTCTAAGGTTTTTCGTTTTATACCCCCATAGTCATTAGAAAACATGCTGTCTACCAAATCATTGATGAGGTCCCAGGAGGGAAGCTGTTCCAGGCCAGCTATTCTTCCAAAATACTCTCTGAATATGTCAATGTGATCTTTCTTAGTGACAACTCCAGAAAACAACTTGTTGGTTTTCTCATACACCAGGCCGTTTACAAATACATCCTGGCACCAAGGAAGTAATGGCACAGCAGCAATTGCTATTGAAAGACTATAAATACCACCAAGCAACAGCAACTGCTTACATTTAAATTTAACTGACGCTTTTTCTCTTGCTATGAATATATTCTGCAAGTCGATAATTCTCATCACACTAAGAGTGGTGACGGAAAAAAGGGACAGCTGAGATCCAACTGTGCTAAGGATGCCAATAACAGAACAAAATCTACTTGATTGCCATTCTATCTGAGATAAGCAGTATCCTTTGCCGTATCGTAGGTCAGTTATTGCCAGGCATAGCAGGTATATTCCAATCGCCAAATCGGCTACCCCAATAGCCGTAACAAAGACTTGATTTTTGAACGACGGTTTGGTGCAGTTTTTCTTCCAAATGACGCTCATATTATTCCCAATTGATAGTAGGTTAAGGAGAACTGCAGTGCCCCCAAATATCCAGGCAACGATTTTCAATGGAATACTGTTTAAGATTTCCTTGCCACAGAGACTATTACATTCATCAGAGAAATCAAAGCAGTTGATAACACCATCACACATCTGGGAAACCGCCACATAACTGTTATTTATGCACTTGAAATGATTTGAGCAGTCTCTTTCATCAGAGCCATCGCCACAATTATCTGCCAAATCACAAACCTGCTTGAACTCTATACATCGATTGTTCTCGCATAGAAAATAATCATTTTGGTAACCATGACGTTCTGAAGTGGCAAATGTGAGACTGTCTGGGCCGAACATTGCAATAACCCTGTTACTGAACTGGCCAGGACACGAGGAATGTTTCAGCTGTCTTGTGAGAGGGCATTTGCCTTCGTTGCACTTACCCGAGCAACTCATGTACACATAATGTTCTCCATAGAAATATCCACACTCTTGGTTGCTAACATCAGGTATTCTTAATTTGGGGAAATTAGTTCTCCCTACAAAAGTGTTGGTTTGGGAGACAAAGTCAGCCTCTTTGCACGAGATATTCATGTGGTGCCGAATGTTTTCAAGTCCTGGCAAGCAGAACGAGATACCGACCTCCATTTTAGAATTTTCAGAACTTTTAACTCTGACAGCTTCATGGTGTGCTGGCACTGCAGAATGAGAAATTTCACAAATCTTATTCTCATTTCCGCATGTTTCCACTTTATCACACAGCTGCTCTTGCTCGATGAAGGTCGCTCCACCTCCAGGTGAAGGACACAAAAACACTTCTGAACAGCTCGAACCATAACTTTTATATCTCAAACTAGGACCACTACCACATGTCTCCCAGTCTTGGAGCTCATCTTCGCCGTTCATGCAATCAATCACCCCATCTTTAATCCAGCTCATGGGGAAAGTTTGAAAGTTTGTCTCCTCTCCGAACCTCCTATTACACACTCGTGTGCTTTTTGTGGCACACAGAGACGTTAGTTCATCATTTCTGTCGGGACAATCAAACTTTTGGTCGCAGAGTTTATGTTTGTGAACATGGCAGGAGGATGAAACAGTAACACACTTATTCTCCATCCCGTCATCGCAGAGGTCTGGAAGAACTCTGTATTTTGAAGTGTCAACCCCTGTTCCGTCTGAACATGTCACATAATTTGAAACGGTTGATGGGTAACCGTCTATAAGGCATCTGCCCGCGACTCTGGAAGGATCTGAACAGTTGGTCTGATCGCGTCCATTTTCACACAGAGCGACATCAAAGGAAGCTGCGTTACCAGCAATAGTACGTGCTGAACACCGAGTAACCTCTAGCAGGGGTAGCTTTA